ATGAGCTTTGGAGAGTGTTTACTGCAATCACATTTTATAAAATACCAAAATCCAACACTGGTTTTGATTAGACGGGATATTCAAACATTGTCTAGTCCAACTCTGCACCCAACCTGATCTTGAACACTTCCAGTGAGGGAGCATCCACAGCTTCTCTGAGCAATTTGCTCACAGATGTTAGGGATTGCCCAAACCTGGGACAAGGACCTTGTTAATTCCATGAAGTTTACATGAGCCCGCTCCTCCAGGCTCCAAGCTGCCAGGCCTCAAGCCTCCCTCTGGATGACATCCCCTCCCTCTAATGCAACAACGGCACCACTCAGCCTGGTGCCATCCACAAACTCACTGAAGGGTGCCCGTGACCCCACTGCCTGTGGCACTGCTGAAGAGGTAATATGGTGCTCAACCAGGCATGGACCTTTGTGGGACACCACTTGTTACTGGTTTCCACTTGGGCATTGAGGCACTGACTCTAAGTCTTTGGATAAACCCATCCAGCCCATCCAGATCTAACCATCCATCTGTCAAACTGAAGTCTCTCCAACCTAGAGGCAAGGCTGTTGAGGGGGACAATATCAGAGGACTTACAGAAGGGATTTACTTCGGGGTGATTTGAAACTGAGTTTGAAATGTGTGGATAGAAACGTGTTTTAGACCCAAGGCTGCTACTTACAGAAAAATTTTCCTTCTGAAATAGGGTGTGTTTTTTCAGTATTTGTAGGGGGGAGAATAAAAGCAGAATAAAACAGACACGAACCAAAGAACAGAATGTCTAAATAAGGGATGACCGAGTACCACCAAGAAGGAAAATTATGCCCTCAGAAATCTCCAAGTGGCCTTCATCTTGTATGCAGGGAGTGCCTTGCTGCTTTCCAGGCTCAGTGAGTAATCAGCCTTTTTTTCTGTTACTAGGGGAGATTCTCAAAGTGGCCACATGATGGTAGCCTAGGATCAGGTACAAACAAGCTAAATCAAGAAAGTAAAGGAAATAAGGAGGAAAACTAATACTTGTAAACTAAAACAAATATCTGGATGCATCATCCCCACACAGTGAGAACCTAAGCTTTAATTCAGCTTTCAGGTATTGTAATATCCAGAATAGAACTGCCAAGTGTACCTACAGTGATAGCCCTGTACTGAGACCTGCTGTGTTTGGTGCTCTTTGGTCCTCTTACAGACAAATATATATCTAGCAAACTTCTGCTTACACTTTCCTTCCTGCTTCTACATACCTCACATAAAAGGTGACTAGTTTAAAATAGATTAAACCAGAGCAAAGAAATCAGAAATGAAGCAAAGATTCTATTTTGATTATTAACCTCTTCATTACTATAACTGCAATGTTCACACTTGGCATTACCTATGAAAAAGACTAAATTAAAATTGTGGAATTCTTATGTTTTAAATTAAAGGATACAAAACTATTCATATAAAAGTTGTACACTTATTCTGGTTTTAAAAAGAATACAGATTGACCCAAAAAGCCTGTGGTAAAATGTGCTGGTCTTGAAAAGGATGCCATTAGACTGCTCTGGCATGCAACTCCCCTCCCTTTCATTAAGCAAATCAAATCAAATCAAATCAAATCAAATCAAATCAAATCATCCTTCAGACTGCATAGCAGCTAAGAAGAACTTCATCATCAGGTTGCCTGGCTTAGTGAAGTCATCCATGTCTAGGTCAAACACTGCTATGAAACTCTAACTGACAAGACTGGGATGCTTGTGTTGTACCCCAAATCCTCTGCAGAGGTGAATTTGGGTATAACCATGAAGTCTTACATTCCATACAATTAATTAAATTGCCTACACTGAAGCTGATAGAATGTTGTTTACTGTGTATAAATATTGAAGATTCCACCTTTTCCAATCTATATTAAAAAATTTATTAAGAAAAATTACTTGAAAATAAATTAAGTCTTTTATTCCAGCTCAGCTCCTGGTAACCTCATTCCCTGTTGCAGTTACACCATCACCCAACTTCTCTAGTACTGGGACTCAGGGTTCCAAGAATAATACTGTTCTGAGAACAGAACAGCGTCCAGTTTCAAGAATTACAGAAACTGAGTAGTTACAAAAGTCTCGGCATTATCACGGTCCTCCAGCAGACCTCTTTCAATTCCTCTACAGAGCAGCAATCAGAAGTCTTTACTTCTGCAGGTCCTGAAATGAAATGTCATAGCAGGGTACATGATAGTGTCTTGCCGTTTACTCTATGAATAAAATTGAGGAATTGAGACCTAAAGAAGAGGAAATATCTCAAGAACCATCCCCTACCTATTCCTTCTCTGCCCAGTATAACAGCAAGAACAAAGACTGATGGGAATTAAGATGTACAACACACAGACAAACAGAAGGAAGACAGATTTTATATAGTTTACCTCTCTTCCAGTGAGATATAACACCAAAGAGTAGTACACTCAGTGAACATTATGAATAATGAGATTTAAATGCTGTTGTCTACTTTAATGACTTCATTTTTCTGTTAAAAATATTTAAAGATGAAGAAGGACAGAGGGCTCTGTACTCAGACTGTACTATGGAGTATATGAAAAGGCAGGTCCTGTGCTTCTCAGTTCTAGGACACCAGCACAGACAAGTGACATACTGTTGGTTTGGTACACTCAGGACATTTCATACATACAGAAGCTTTTCCTGATCTGTGCATTGAATTTACCCAACCCAGAAAAATGTGGACACAAAGCAGGAAGGCTGTTGAGACTGGTGACATGGTCTTTTACCCACCTCCAGGGAACGAAGCTGGCTAGTGCAAAGCTGGGAGCAGCTCTTCTGCAGGCCAGAGCAGTGGGCTGATACTCTTGTACATGGCAGTATCCCTAAGCAATAAGCAGAAAACAGTGGAATGGATTGAAGCAATGATAACTGGCCTTCACCCGAGCCAGAAGGAAGACCCATGTTCACCTGTCCTTCAGGTGGTGGTGCCCTGTACAAACATTTATATGAAAAATGTGTGACAGAAAAGACTGAAAATTATGTGAATGCAGTAATGAAGAGGCTGTCCCTCTATTCCGACCTTTGTCCCAAGGCCGGGAGGGACCCTGCTTCTCCCCATGGTTTAACGGAAGTAAGGATAAGGGAAATGAGTCAATGAAATCACATTGTCAAAACATGCAAAAATACACCAAGGCAAACTCATAGTTTCTATCCTTCTTGTTCTCCATTCCTGTAAACACCACAGGGAAACAGATCTCAAGGACAAGGTAGGTTTAATATTGTCTGGTTTTCTTTTCTATTTTCTTTTCTGTTTCTCCTTTATTTTACTCCAAAGAAGCTAGGAAGGAAATATTGAGTTTTGTCATTTCTGCTAGTCTTAATGTTAAAATAACTGTGAGGGTTGGATAGACACTACCTGATGGCAAATGCCTGCTTTCCTCTGATGAATGTCTTAGCCAATATTTTGATGGCGTATTTTTTCTACAATCTGAAAATAATAGTATAATTATATTTTAAAATTTGCAGTTTCCAATGTTACTGGTCTCATCCACATAGCAGTATTTTGTTTGTTAAGTTAAACATGAATTACAGAATTAGAGAGCCTGTGTTACTGTCTCTTGAAAACACAGTCAAATTGGAAATTTTGGATTTTAGGTCTTTGCATCCATAGAGCAAAATTACTAAATGGAGTGAACTCTTTTAGAAGTACTGCATTTAGGCACCAGTAGAATGTCAGTGTCTTTTCTCTTTCATGATTTTAATACTTTAGAAGATTTCATATACACAAATTCCCTGAAAATCCTGCAGGAACGCAGACATAATGTTAGCACATCCAACGTAGCACACCCTCATAGCACACCCAACATGGAAACAGTAATTCAGTTTCATATTTTCCAACTGACAATAATGTCTTTCAAAATCTTTCAGGAGCAAAGCTGGGAAATTAATCTCAGAGGTCTAGTTTAATGTACTATATTCAAAACAGACTTTCCCTTAACAAAAAAAATAGTCATATTAAAAACAAAGTATAAGTTTTGGGTTTGTTTTTTTTTTTCAGTTACAAACCTTCCTTTTCATTGGCTATAAAAATCATAGTGGGATGAAAATATGAAAAAATATATGGCTTTGTGTTACTTATATCAGCAGGTTACCGGACAGTTTTTATTCTCATCTAATCACCTCTAGAATCAACATAGATGAGACTGGACACTGCAGCAGCATTTCAGCTTTTGAATTCCTAACACAACTACCCCCTGTGCAAGGGTTCAGGCTTCTCTGAGAAATAACTTGTGCTGTAGCACAGAGTCTAGCAGTAGCCAATTTTCATAGAAAATTTATAAACTACGGTACAGGAAGGAAACAACTTCACACAGAAATACTTTGATTTTCCTAAAGATTTTCATCAATAATCTGCACAGGAACTATTTGAGATGTGGAAGGAAGTTTGAAATGTCTCTGAGGAAAATAGTACTGTTCTCCTGCAACTGTTTTCCTAAAGAGAAGCAGCACGTGATACTTGCATAGGTATAAGAATGAGGAGAAAAAGACATTTTCAATAATAAATTTTCAGTTGAGAAAATAATAGTGGCAGTATTTTTGTTTAGTAATTACATGTGAATTTCAGATGAGGTAAGAATGGAAAGGAACGAATCCTCTTGGATTTAGCTGATAGAGGTGGATAGCTCAGAATTAGAGAGATTCCTCTGAGCTATATTTTCAGTGAATGGAAAAAAGTAAATATGGTAAAGTCCTTATTCATCTTGTCCTAGAATGGATTGAATAAACTGGTCTAAAGTAGCTGGGTTTATTTTCCAGGCAGTGTTAAGGCAGTATAGAATTACTGGTTCCCTTATGAGCATCTGTACAGTTTTTTGGTAGGTTTAAGACAAACTCCACCTCACACCTAACAGCATCTTCAGAGTTAGGTTGAAAGGTTAAAGGTAGCTAAAAAATTGCTAAAAAAACTTGCAAAGACCTGTATTATTTGAGCAGTTATTCAGTCTTTCTGCAGAGTGGACATGGGGTATTATTTCTGTTTTTGCAGGCATGAATGGGACAGCCATTGAAAACTTTGCTTGTGTCATTTTTAATGTTTCCTTCATGAACTGCACCTGGCATGTGGGCAGGACTGCTACAGAAGACACCCAATATTTCCTGTACTGGAGGTCCTGGAAGTAAGTAGATCTGCTTGAATACTGGGAATTTTGATTTGTGGTTGAACATGTGACTTTGTCAATGTTTTATTGATACAATATTTCATGTGAAGGAAAGAAGATGTCACAGAATGCCAAAATTATATCAAAGATATCTATGGAAGGCACACAGGATGTCAATTTCAAAATGTGACAATAGAAAATAACAATGCTTATTTCCTGGTAAATGGATCCCGAAGTGGACAAAGCATTCAGTCATATGAGAAGAAGATACTGCTATACAAAATTGGTAAGCATTTTTTGTTGATTTAATTTCCAGTTATATGCTAAAAGAATGAAGATTTCATCCCTGGGAAAAAGTATGCATTTAAAAAATATTTCTCCCCATAATAGCTTCGGAGTTTTTTTCACTTTTTCTCAGCCCTAAAGTACAAGAATGGATAAAAACTAATGAATACAGAAACAACCCGGAATCATAGGTCAGAAAATTTTGAACGTTTCAGTTAAATATTTATTCTTTGAGAGAAAGGTGTCATTTTTATAATTAACTAGCTAAGAAGTCCTGAGTGGGGCTATCTAGATCTTGGTCTTATTATCTCATAATACTGTTCATCCACATAATGAAAAGAACCAGTTACCTTAATGCTGTGAGCAAAAACTCCCATTTTTTAAATGGAAGAATGTTAATTAAAAAAAAACTGTTTAATTTGAATACAAAAATACTTAAATCCAAGAAATAAAACCAAACCTGCAGAAATCATATGCTGAATACAGTAAAATGTAATAAACGTCTTGTGTTTTTTGTTTTCCTTACTGTTGCAGCTGGTGCTCCAGGCTCCTCAACTGAAATGTTAAATCAGGGGGTCCTGCTTCAGAATATGGGGACAATATAGAAATTCTGCTAAAGTTGCATCTTTTTAGATCAGTTGCTTGAACACCTATCTATATTTTTAAAATGGCAGAGTGAAGAGAGCTATTACTAATCAATAGTATTTCTGGTTATGTTATTGTAGAAAAACTCACCCCTCCATTAAATGTCACAGTGAACTGCACAGAAGCTTCTCATAGATGCAGTATTTGGTGGCAACCACCTCGTACAAGTCATGTGAAAAAAAAGAGTTGTTTCAAATATGAAATTGTCATAGAAAACAAGGTAAGAATAATTATGACATTTAACATCATTTTGTTTGTCTCTATTTCCACACATAACACCATAAACCCTGTTCTCATCCCCTCCTTTTGAAATCTTGAATGAATATGGAAAGTAATACTGTATCTTTCAAAAATAAAGTTCAAAATATTTGTGAGGTTATTGTTGTTCCAACAGTGAAAAATTAAAAAAAAAGAGACATAACTTAGCTAAATTAAATGTTTAAGACAAACAAACAACGGAAAAAACATTTTCCGAGTTGATTTATAAATTTTAGGTACTTTGTTTTAACAATTAAAATGTAAAGATTTTTGTCAACCTGAGCCTTCTTTTTCTTTTGTTTTGTGCTTTGATGTGCTCAATTCTGCAACCAAATTTAAATGGTGCAATATTTCAGAGCATCAGTGGAGAGGAAAAGCCACTTAGTGGAAGAACACCTTAAATTTCACAGTTTAAATGGCTTCTTTAAAAGAAGGCATTTAAAATATTACATACATCAAACATCCATGAGAGAAGACCCTTTATCATATAGTAACAAAAGAATAATTCTAAAAATTAAACTTTTCTCTTGCTGTTAGGCTGATGCTGAGAAAAACACCAAAACTACATCTCAAACAGTAAGTCTGTATTAATCTAAGATTTATGCTATATTGAAATTTCTTCTATCAGAGTGTCTTCCAAACTAATTGGTTTGGTTTCACACTACCTGTTTCAATGTACTGCACATGCCTTATTTTTGATAAGTTTTCTAAATCTGAAGTTTTAAACTGTTGTTTATAAAACTTGGTAGAAAAACACCTGCACATGTAAACATTGATATTACTTCACAAAATCTTCCATTTTACATTCTTTTTTATTTCCTAACAGACTCATATATATGTAAAACTATGGATCATGATTCTGTGTAACACAAAAAATGTGGGGATTTTTTTCTTTTTTAATACTCTCTGGAAAGGATTGAGATGTAAGAGGCCAGAAAATATTACCTCTAAGATTAGGCCAGTATAAAGATGGAAGAAAAAAAAAAATCTGGCTATCGAACTCTACTCTGATTCTGAAAATATCCACTGTAACAAAGTGCCAGATCTTTAAAGAATTTTTTCCTTTAAATCCCATTGCTTAGCAGAGTCTAAGGAGCCAGGGAAACATGTAGCAAATTTCATCTTCATATTACCCAATAATAAAAATATTCTAACAAGAGGAACTAAGATGAAACAAACTAACTAAGGGATAATTTTCTAATTATTTCACTCTAGTCTGTTCTTAGAAAGATTATATAAATATAAAATATAAAATTCTATCATAATTATATTAAAACAATGCAAAAATTCTCATTCTACTTATTTTGCATTTAGGCAGCAATCATTGAAAATAACTCCTACCTATATGAAAGCTTCAGCTCAGAAAAAAGGTACAGCATCAAAATCAGAGCAACAGATGCAGGCTTTTGTTTAGTAAGCCCAAACTGGGGAGAGTGGAGTACGCCTGTGGAGTTTGGTAAGAATAAAAATCCCTTCCTTGACCTTGTACAGTTATTATCTGTCTGCCTTATTTTTCCCTCATGCTTACAGATGGAACCACATTGGTAATTGCCCATTAATTTGCTAGGACAAAGAGAGTCGAAGAATGGCTGTGTCTCTTATTATTAGGGGGTTCTCCAATCATTTTTGGGAGACAGTGCTTCCTGCACAGGGATAATGAATGAAGCAGATCTTTTTGAAGTCTATTGCCAGCTGTTTTACTTCTTCTCTCTCTGCTCCTGATTTATAATCTCCTTTTTCCTGCTGTTGCTGTCTGCCACCTTGGATATTTAAATACTCAGTAGGACTCAGTTCCTCAGGTTTCAAGTTCCTGTGGACAGCCCATGTACTGTTCAGTAGTTCTATTTTTTTTGCATGCCACAGGGCAAAGAGGTGCTGTGCTAAAAATTTCATCCCTTCATACAGTGTTTGACACCCTGATGCAATGCACATAGCTGTGCAATCATTTGTGTCTTGTGATGCTAACCAACACTTTGATGATTGCTTGATTTTCAGGAACACAACAGCTTACATCTACTTCATCATATATGCTATTTCTCATACCAAGCCTGGCAGCAGGTCTCACACTTCTCCTTTGCATGACAGTGTAAGCCTTATTTCTTGTGCAAAATTTTTATTCTATAGTTAAAATAACACTTCCCCCAACAGAAAATTTCTGGCTTCTTTTTAAAGGAGACGAGGGGGGGAGAAAATTGACACTGAGCTATACTAGGAATCATCTCCTGGATGTTCCTCAAGTATGCTCTATACTTCTGATTCCCAACTTTCTTATGCACTTGATTAATATAACACAATGTTTTCCAATACTGGCCAATATTAATATTAATACCTTATATCAGTACCTCTTTCCTACCATCAGACCCTGCAATGTAGACAGGTGGTACATGAAATGTTTTCCATGTTTTGACAACATTTTCTTTTCACATACTTAAAAAAACCAACTTCTTATAAGGTCTTAGGAAGTCATAAAATAAATAACTGTCATCTAAATTCTGAACAACAAAATTATAACATTGTATTCAGCCTATGCAATTTTTAGCTACTTTTGAATTAGAAGAATACTGCTTATGTCTTAGAGAAATAAAATAGTAAGTCAGGAGCATTGTTATATAGTAAGTGTTCATGTGTTTGCAAACTGTCTTTTCTTCACCAAACCTTTTTGTCACTGTAGAAGGGCTTATTTGAAAAAAACATCTGCTACAGTACCACAGCCAAGAGACCCATTCCATGAGCTCTCTCCAATGGACTTCCAGGTACACTTTCTTTCCATTTGCCTGAAATTTAAAAATTTATTCTCAAAGGTATGACCTAACTGTCAGAAAGATGCACACAAGTAAGAATCAAATTTCTTTCTTTTTCTTGTTCTTGGGATATGGACAGAGAAAGTCCACACACAAATAACTGGTCTGTTTTACCTTTTCCATTATGAAATAATTGTCATCTGTCTACCTGGAGCATTGCAGAAAACCCTGCTCTCCCTATAAGCCATATGCTATCGCTAAAATAATGCTGAGCATAAGTTTCTCAGCACAATAATAATGCAGAATCAGGCAGGGAGAGAAGGGACAAAGAAATGTTCAGTAATTTTAGCATGCTAGTAGTTGGCAATGATGCTAAAGGAGGTAAAAGTTTCTACGGTACGGTAAGCAAGAAACTAGAGCAGAATGTTAGCAGAGGTGCTAACTTATGTGGAATGCTGGAATGACTCATGAGAAGGAACAGACACACAGACACTGCAGGAACTGCCCTTCTGGAGAGCATGTTGCAGTTTGCTGCAATTTGCAAAGTCTTTAGGTTGGCTTCAGGCAAGTCTGGAAGACAAAATTTGTCTGCAGAGATATGCTGAATCTTTATAGAGTGAGCCTTTATAAATACTTTTATTTTCTCTTCCTTGATCATGTTAACTTTTCTATGTTTTAAAAGATTATTTTCCCAGCTTTTTACTTGAAAAGTCTTTGCTCCTCTTTGGTAGCTATGTGGAGTGATCATCTAGACATGTCTACCTCGGTCTTCTAATTGACAGAGTCCTCCTACAGGCTTTATACAATAAATAACAAATTTGAATGACAGGAGATTCATAAATCATGACCATGTGACTAATCTCTAGCATGAAGCACTAACAAAATGTTATATTCTTTCTTTAATAGACAGAATATATGAATCTATTAAAAGAAAAAGAAACTGAAGAAATAACAGATATTGAAGAAGTGATGGAATGCAAGTGAAATGAGCAACTTGATTTTTTTCAAGCTCATATACCTCATTGGCAAAAATTAAGAGGTTTTTCATATTCTCTCACTCCTGGAAGGAGGGAGAAGAGCATTGGCTGTAAAGAGAATTCCCCAAGATCTTATCTCTAAAAGTCTCCTTGTATTTGGTTGCATTTTCTATGAACAGTTTGGACTATTTCTGGTTTTTATTATGATGAATACTGCAGTATTTCAGAAAAAAATATTTCAGTATTGCTTTGGAAGCTGTTTTACTGTTTTCAACAACATGCAAAAGAATAAGTAAGAACAACTAAACTTAAGGGGTTTATTCAGGATCTCCATTGGTTCAGTGTATCAAAAAAGGTGCAGCCATACGGAGATTGTAGATTTTAGGAATGAAATTTGACATCTGTATGAAAGCTCACTGTATGAAGACCATCCAAGATCAATCCTCTTAAGAAAGATCACTTGCTCATACAAAGTGAGTACTATTCAAGAGCTCTGGATGCCATCTTCCCGTAAGTCTATTTGTTGCCTTCCTTTATTCATCCCTTCCTATCTCTGTTAGATGAAAAAATTACTTAATATATTATTGCTAACAGGTAGCAGATGTACATATGTATATGTATTGAGTGGGAAATGTCATAAATTGAGCATTTGAACTCTCCAGCAGAAGCCTGTCACTTGCTAATTGTGGTACAGGCAAGTTGTGTGTTTTTATAACACTTGGAAGAAACAGAAGCATAGCAGCCTGAATCCTCCAACTAATAAGGAGATGTGAGAGAAAGCCCTCAATTTGGGTGCTAATCACATATTTTGACCTTCCATTTGCATGAAATTGAATATGAGTCAGTCCTGCCCTGGCAGCCAGGAGGGCCAACCTTGTTCTGGGCTATATCAGACATGGCATGGCCAGCCGGGCAAGGGAGGGGACTGTCCTGCTCTGCTCTGCTCTGCTCTGCTCTGCTCTGCTCTGCTCTGCTCTGGGGTGGCCTCACCTCGAGTGCTGGGGGCCACAACATAATAAAGATATAAAGCCATTAGAGGGGGTCCAAAGAAGGTCTACAGAGATGATGAGGGGCCTTGAGGAGAAGCTTCATGAGGAGTGGCTGAGGCCATTTGGTCTGCTCAGCCTGGAGCAGACTGAGGGGAGACCTCATTGCAGTTACAATTTCCTTGTGAGGGAAAGTAGAAGAGCAGGCACTGATGTCTTCTCTTTGATGACCAGTGACAGGACCCAGGGAATGGCCTGAAGCTGTGTCAAGAGAGGCTTATGTAGGGTATCAGGAAAATGTTCCTCACCCAGAAGGTGTTTAGGTACTGGAACAGGTTCCCCAGGGAAGTGGTGACAGCACCAGCCTGACAGAGTTTAAGAATTTGGAAAACACTCTCAGGCACATGGTGTGACTCTTGGGGCTCTCCTGAGCAGGGCCAAGAGTTGAACTCAATGACTTTTGTGGGTCATTTCCTACTCAGGGTATTCTATGATTCTATAATTCCAACAAGTCTCAAGATGGTTAAAGTCGTCTCAAGTAGCTGAAATCCTATCATGGAAAATAAAGTCCTCTCAGTGATAAAACTCCACTAGACTGGGTTACTGTCAAGAGATCATCTTTGGAAGTAAATTTCTAAATGAGCTTTCAATAAAAATTTTTTTAATGACTTTTTAAAACAGAACCAGAGAAGGATCTTTCTACTTAAGTTAAAATTGCCAAAAGATAAAAACACCTGCATTAAATGGGAAAACTAAAGCAAACACTCACTGTAACCTAAGGACAATTATACAGATACAGTCTGCTGGATCCTCTCCATCTTGCTTCACACAGAGTTGATCATGGCCATTGGTGCACCCCTTACATCCCCACTGCTTTCACTGTGAAAGCTGCTGAGACAGAAAAGTCATTAAGAAAACTTGTTCACTACCAGCACATTAGCAAGAAAACTATAAACCATGAAACAGTGGCAGTGGTAGTAGGTGTGGGACTAAGGTATCACTTTACCATCCCTGGGCAAAGACCCCAAAATCAGTGGGAAAGGATGGTCAGGCTTTAGAATCTTTTAACTAAGTGCCTTGGATGGTCTCCTATGGCTATTTCTCTCTTCTGTGCTAAAAACTAGAAAGTTCTTGCTGCAAGGAAAAAATTAATGGTCTTGTCTATCATTTGCATTTTTGTGACATATGCAAAAGCTGCAACACACCAGTACAGTGAAACACCAGACAGCTCTTGAGAACACTGCTGGTTTTGTTGGAGCCATAAATTATTCTTCAAGCTTTTGTGAGTTTTGAGAAACATTTGGTTTGATACTCTTTCTGCAATGATTTCGCTCCCTGTAGAGCCAAAAGTCTCTAAACAGCCCTAGTGTCTCTGCCCAGTTTTCTCTTCTCTCCTTTATTCTTTTTTGTCTTTTTCTCCTTCTCATTTTGCTTCCAATTCCTGGGTGATATCAAGGCCACTCAAGTTGTCTTTGACAGACTTTGGTAGCACCCTTAGTAGCACCCTCTTTGCTTGGGAATTTTTAAAATGTGTTTAATTTGTTTGCATTTTTGAAAGCCTTAGGTAAGGAGTTTGCTTAAATATAGACAAGAAAAGAAATCCCCTGGGTAGAACAGTTCCCTTTTCTGCAAAAACACCACTGTCCTTCTGGGTTGTTTGGATTGTTCTGCTGCAGTAATTCCAGTTTAAAGACAAAGTAGCCAAATCAAAACCTCAAACTCCACTCTTCCTCACTGTGTTTCAGAGATACATAATCTGAGAGAGCACACAAAAACACACTGCTTCCCTGCTGCCTTCTCTGCAGGCTCAAGAGATCTGCAGAGTGGGAGCATGGAAAAGCAGGCAAACAAAAATTCTGACTTCCTTAATTTTCCAGAGTCCCATTTGACTCTCCATGACATTTCTTACTGCTCTGATTTTATTACTTGGTTACTCGTCACTCCCTTTCTCCATGAAATGCAATAGGTTACCACCTCAAAATTGAGTGCTTTCTTCCAAAGATGAGGACACAATAAACTGTGGGGTTTTGCATTTTTTGAGATCAGAAGTCCTTTCTTCTCTCTTTACAGCACAGTCAGTGTTCAAAAAAAAAAAAAAAAAAAAAAAGTACATGGTTATGTTTGGAATTTATTTAATCTAGAAGTACAGCGAACCTTCTGAAAATGGACTTCTTTTTTCTCTGAACAACTATAATGGGCTCAGACCTGATGTCCAAGGTTTCATTTACTTTGTCTGTTGACATCTATAATGTGATAGGAGCAGTCATAGTGATTCTCACCAAAATGAGCCACTTATTTGACTAAATCTGCTTTTTGGTAGAATATCCATCAATACATACAATCTTGTCATTCCCACCCTTTGTCTCTTAGATATGCTTCAGAAAAACTTTGCCACATTTTTATTCTGTACTAGCATGAATAGAGTGAGTGCCCATGAATTGGTCCCTATAGAGCCAACATTGTTTTAGGTCTTTCCCTCTGAAACCACAAAAGACCAGGCAAAGCTCTGTCGATTCTCTCATGGTTCTTGATTCTACGGATGACTGGAGTTTTTGAAGGTCTGGATGCTCAAAGTGAGTTGTTCATCTCCTCAGTTAACACCGAGTTACTAACAGATGCGATTAAATGCATGAACACAACCATAGAGTGCCACTTAATACTTCAGTTCCTTTTTCATGCCTTGCTCTGTGCTTTTAGTACTGCATGTGAGCAGAAGTGAGGTAGTGAGGTAGGGGTTTTTTGGGGTTTTTTTTTTTGGTGGTTTTTTGTTTGTTCGTTTTTTTTTGTTTGTTTTTTGGTAGAAAATAATTTTGCAGTTAAAAATTTCCAATATGATGAATAGACTTGCTTCACTACACCTGTTCACTTTAAACCACACGTGTTGAGGAGAAGAAAACATGTCAGATATCCTCTTTGTGGTGTTGGCTGGCCTCAGCAACAACTCAGTATGACTAATATTTACAATCAACATGCGATAATGAATCCAGAAAATGACTGCCCACTTCTAGCTCATCAGTCAACAATCTCACACTCTAGCCAGAATCCAGAAAGAAGAAATACTCATGAGCCTGGGCATTTCTGGATCTCTAGAAGGTAAGCCCTCTTTGTCTCCAAGGAAAGACAGCACTGAGCTACCCTTGGCTTCCACTCTTGGACATAATTTTATCCCAGTCATCTGTGAATAGCTGGTACGTAAGAACTACTGCTGATAAGGTTAAATCATTCCAATAAAGAATAAAGAAGCTTTAGGATTGGAATGACTTTGGCATTTTGATAAAGGCAATTCCTGGACTGCCCTGGAAAACTGTTGAGCAACAGGTGAATTTTTCCATATATAGTAGCCAAGAAACGGGAGTGTTAGAGAAGTACATGGACTGTATTCTTTCCTACAAGTTTTTAACTCCAAGCAGAAAGGATCTGCATGTTTTTAAGAGGAAAATGTTGACATATCTTGATGTTTGAAGAATGTCATATTTTCTAGTGATGCTTCAATTTCAATGTGAAGAAATTAAATTACTTTACATGCATTTTAAATCTCCATATTAAACAAATTATATTGCCTTCTGTGAAACAAAACCTTTCATGGTTTAAAGGAGCTTTTGATGTCTTATACTGTTTATAATAACTCTCTTCTTTAGAAAATGCATGGCTGTGACCCAAAAAGGTAATAAATGCTCAACAGCGGGGCCTGGAGCCACTGATTGTAGTTGGATGCTTACTACCTGCAATTTTTTTCTGTTTTAGTGGCAGTTTGTAGTTTGGCTATTTTCACATGGGGAGGAATGAAATGCGGACAAACACACATGACACTTTCTAGTAGTGATATATCTTATCTGAAGACATCATATCCAAGATTTGAAATCCCCTGTTCCCATCTGCTTAAAGAACATTTACAGTTTACATTGTCACTTCCCTGGGAACCCCCACAGACCTGGTTATCCCTGCCCAGTCCCTGGAGCTTTCCCCATCATGCCTAGAGCCCAGGACCCCACATCAGCCCCCCAGACCCATCAGCCCCTGCCCATTGGTACCACAGCAGAGCCATTCTCCAGGTTCCCACAGCCCTGCCCTGCCTGGACATGCTTGGTGGTCAGGGCTGGGGCTGCCCTGGGTCCACAGCTGCCCTGATCTGGGCTGGAGGTGCCAGCTGGGACTGCCAGGCCTCACCCTGATGGTAAGGACCATGGAGAACCCCCATCTTCCGTCCCCCAGAGGTGGTTTGTATGGAGAGATGGTTTGTACTTGTCAGTATTGTTTAGAGCTAGAGAGAAATACCTGTAAAAGTAAATTTAAGCACATTCTGGAGTCCCAAACCGCCATACTCTGGTGCAACAAAAGGGGAAATTTAACCAGCTAACTTCTTGTTCATGTTATAAGAAATCCTGAGTTGGGCAATTACAAAATTTGCTATGAATCAGGGGGGAAGTGATGAACATTTATTTTGCAACACTTCCGACACTAAGATGGTTCCCCAAAACACAAGCAGCGAGGGAAACAGCCCTATTTATAGATATACAGTCTTTTAAAATACAGTCTTTCCATCTTCTCTGAACCTGAAGATTATAACAGAAAAATAAACAAGGTAAAGACATTTTGAAATAAAAGGTAGGTCCATCTTTTTCTTTCCAGCTGTTTTGTTTGCTGAGGTATTTACTGAGTCTCTAGACTGGAGGGGTGTCTGGATGTCTGAGACAAAACCTAAAAAGTTGTCAGAGGAATATATGGTACTAAGTTGAATGAAGGTTTTTTTACAAGTAAAGTACCTGCTGCATGCTAAGAAAGATCCTGGACACAATTTTGGTTTTTTTTACTGGGTTTGATACTGAATTTTTAGAAGTGAGTGTTCCTCTGTTATAGAATCATATTTACAGAATTATTTGGGTTGGAAAGGACCTTGAAGGTCACTTAGTTCAAACTCCTTCAGGGAGGTATTCCCTGAAGTACACCTGGTTGCTCAATGCCCCAACAAAACAGCCTCGAATACTTCCAAGGATGGTGCATCCAAGCTTCTCTGGGCAACGTGTTCCATTGCCTCACTGCCCACACAGTAAAAGTTTTCTTCCTTCTGTCTGATCGACATCCTTGAAAACACGTGAGCTAACACCCTCAGCAAACTTACCACATTCACATTGGGTAACTTGAGTTGATGGATATTACTGTGACCTATTTTGATATTTTCTCCTCACAGCTATTTACCCACTGCCTTACATCTACTCATCCTTAACTTTATACATAGCAGGTAGAAAAACAATCTTTAGACCTTAAAATAGCAGCCATCCAAGGTATGTCTATAACGTTTATGCAGTGCTCCTGACATCACCAGCTTTTTTTTCTACACAAATTGTTTTGTTGCAGCTATAATCACATCTTTGGGGGATTTATCCATAAAAAAATTCTTCATTGAATCTATCAGGGCAAATATCTTTCAGTGTTAGCAAAAAAAAAAATAAAATAAGTCATTCCTAAACCAAGCAATAACCACTTGGAGTCTAACATACCTAAGTGTGTGCCATGATCCTCCAGCTTGTAGGAGTCACATGATTTTTCCTCATCATGGATATTCCTGTGTTTGCAGGCATGAAGGGGTCAGCCATTGGAAACTTCTCCTGTGTGCTTTATAACATCTTCCTCATGAACTGCACTTGGCAAGCAGGCAGGGATGCTCCAGCAGACACACAGTATTTTCTCTACTGGCAGAAATCAAGGTAAGTAAGTCTGCTTGAGACAGAGAAGTCTGAATTCTCATTCAACACATCACAGTGCCCATGTTTAACTGAAATATTTTGCTGTATGCAGAGTGGACAATCAGATGGAATGTGAGCTTTACATTAAAGATGAAAATTGCAGAAATGTGGGATGTATCTTCCAAAACGTGAGCATAGGGATTGAAAAAGCTTACTTCCTGGTGAATGGGTCTAGCAAAGACTCTCTGATCCAGTTCTATGATGAGTACATTGATCTGTATAAAATTGGTAAGTAACTAATTTATTTTAGCTTTATTTCAATTATTGTATGAAAATAGTAGGGCATTTATCCCTGAGGAGGAACCATGTATCTTGTCTCACCTAGAGTTGAGAGTGAGAGACTGTGGCTTCCTCAAGAAAACCTATTCCTCAAGCAAAAGACAAAGAGGGGAATTAAACAGGAAAGCTCCACAGCTGCATTCTATCTCAGATTCTGTAGCAATCTACCCTTATGAGTTTTAGGTTTTTCTCAAGCAAGGTCCACAAGACTTTAAAAACTACTTTCTCCTGCTGCCCTTTCAGTGGTGGCCAAAAACCTCTCAATAGAAGAGAGAGGAGACTTTTTAGAAGTTTATCTGAGCACTAATTTCTGCTTTTCTTTGCCAGTGGGGATGACATACCGGACACCATACCCTGTAGTAAATGAATTAAGACATGTACAACATACCTTAGGCATGTGGTGCTGTACTTGAAAGCATCCTGTGCATTTTCTGTTACTGCAGCAAAGTCTCACTGGAAATGTCACACTGCTTCTGGTATTGTGCTAAAAGATTGAACAGAAAAGGTTTTGTTCTATAAGAAGAATCTGAGCTGTAATGTCACTCATGGCAGATAAAATAAGATTGTTCTTTGACCAAGTAAGCCCATCACAAGCAGGTCAGTCCTGTCCCTAAAGACTGATGTAAAGTAGTATTCTAGCTGGTACTAAACTTTCCTCTATCAGCCTTTTGTCACCCTTTCTGCCATAAGTGACTGTCTTCTGCTTCTGCTGTTCCAATAATCAAGTCATTGGCAATGATCAAAATATAAAGATCCTCATACTTTTGCTTACATCTATGAAGTGGGGGGCAACACATGAAGAGGTTGGCTAGACTATTAAAAATTTAGTGTCTTGTGTGAATTTTGTATGGCTATTTCTTTTGCAAGGAGGGAATAAGCTGCATAGTTCACAACAGATTGAAAGCAAAACCTTCATGCCGCAGAAGCATCATGAGGAGGCTTAGAGAAAAAAAAAAAATAATTTTTACTTCAGGGATAGCAACAGCTAGTTCATGCACAGTAATAAATTCTCTTAAAAAGAAGACAGTGTTTTACCTTACTCCTCTAGAAAAACAAATGGAGGGGATTATTTCTTTGTATGCTCCTATATCATGCTTCCTGTCTTAGTCCCTTTTCTTTTGTTTTGTGATCCTGTGTACATGATTTAGAAAACTTTGGTCTTTAAACTATTTCTAATAGGTCCTAAGAAAAACAGGTGTCTTTCTTCATAGAGGTGTTACTTGCAATTTCACTCTCTTTCATCAAATAAAAAAGAGATCAAGTGATTTTAATTAATGAATTCTTGGTTATATCATTTCAGAAAAGCTCATGTCTCCATCAAATATCACAGTCAACTGTGATGAAATTAAAAATTATTGCATAATTCAATGGCAACGACCCCAGATAAGTCATTCTAACAAGGACATGTGCTTTAAATATGAAATTAGCATAAAGTATAAGGTAAGAATGTCTTCATTTACACTTAACATTAATTCATATATTTGCAATTACCAATACACATGAGTGAAAAATAAATAAGCCTCTCTTCTATGGTGCAGCCTTCCCCATACATAGCACCTTATTCCTTTGTGACTGCATTTTTCCAGCCCATAACAAATCCTGCTCTGTCATACTGCCCCATTTTTATTTTTTTTAATCCCTGCCTTCTTGAGTAAGACACTGCTGGAGATACACTAGATGTCTGGGACAGTCCCAGAGAAGAAGCATGGTAAATCAAGATTCAAATACAACACATCTTTTTCTCTGACAGCACTTAGAAAAAGTAGTTCTTTCACTGAAACTTGTTGGAGTTGCCCTGGATTGGGAGTATTTCCAATGGAACTGGATCTCTGTGGAAGGCCATAGCTGGGCTATAAAAGTGAAAATAGAAATGGGCATTCACTTAACAATTGAATTAATAGAAATTAATTAATTTCTCCATGTATTAAATGCTTACTCAGATATAAGCATCACACCTGTTGGTCCAAAAGTTGAAGATTTAAAATGATAAACAAAAGGAAAATAAATGTGAGAGAAAGCAGAAAGGCAGCGTGATTAAGGACGGGTTAGTGGTGGGTGACCTTGGCTTTACAAGTCATTTGGCAGCAAGAGGGAAGGAATGGGATTGCTGCGCTCCACTGCGGCAGAGCTGCACCTAAAGGCCACAGGGTGGCAGACAGAGACTGCAAAGGAAATATCTTCCCGAGCTACAACCAGATTTGGACACCCACTTAGTGACTGATTGAAGGCATTCAGGAGTTTGGAATTTCTTAGTCTGGGTTGGGTTTACTATTTCACAGACGAGGCTTTTTGCAAAGCCCAGCTAACTGCCGTGAAACAGCATTACTTCTCTGAATCACTTGGCTGTTGTAACAAAGAAGCATTATTGAAAACTCTGTCTGACATTGGAATAAAATCTATTGCAGTAATGCAATACCTACTTTCTAATAACTTTTAATATATGTAATATTCATTTTATAAAGAATACTCAATTCATACTTTGTCTGAAATTTCTAGCTATTTTTTCATCATCATTAGCAGTTTTCACCAAGCTAATTATGTCAAGGTACAGCAATTATTCCAGCAATTGAGCGGTGTAGGCTCCTTTGACACTTATCAGATGCAGCTATAATCATATCTTTGGAAGATTTACCCATAAAAATGTCTTCGGTAAATGCCAAATGTATTGCTTTATCACTGACAACTCTGCTGGTCTGTCCCGTCATGCCTACGCACAAGTTCTCTTACTGGTCCATTATTTATCCCAAGACAGAGCTCTGTGCACACAAGGCACTCCTTCATACACAGTAGAAGGCCCAGTTGCCCAAACCTGTTTGCAGGGATGCAATCACCCTCCTTGGTGAGATGTATCCCATTCCTGCCCAGTAGCCCCTCTTTCTCGGAAAGGATCCCAAGGTCATAGAAGACGAAGCCCTGCCTGTGGCAGCAGTTATTCAGCCAGGTGTTGACCTGCTGGATGACTACAGTTCTGCTCAAGCCTTTCCCTCTCACTGGAAGGCCTGAGGAGACACCATCTGGACTTCCTGCCCTTCACCATCTCCCCCAGTGCTCTGTAATCACTTCACTGAAAACTTTCAGGTTACTCCTGCATCAATAAAGAACAAGGGGTTCATTGGCCAGATATTTCTCCTAGATTGATCCCTGTGCATAATTTAGCTTGACAGCAGACACTAGAAGGTGTCCTGGACAGCAGCTTGCTTTATAAGATCTTAGAATGGTTTGGGGTGGAAGTGACCTCAAAGGCCATCTAATTCAATCCCCCTGCCATGGCAGGAACACCTTTCACTAGACAAGTTACCCAGAGTCCCATCCAGTCTGTCCTTGAACACTTCCAGACACATCCACAACTTCTCTGTAGTCTATCCCAGTGCCTCACCACCAGTGCAGTAATGAATTTCTTTCTAACATCTAATCTAAACCTACCCTCCTTCATCTTAAGGCCATCCCCCCATGTGCTATCAGCACATACCCTTGTGAAAAATCCCTCTCCAGCCTTCTTGTCGGACCCTTTAGGTGCTGGAATGTGCTGGAAGCTCTCCCAAGTGCCTTTTCTTCTCCAGGCTGAACAGCCTCCTGTTCAGATGCCACATGAGCAGGCATGCAGTTATTTGAAAAAATAAGTCTGGATTAATTGAGTTTTGTTCTAAAATGGTGTATCGCAAAATAATTACAAAAATACCTAACTAGTTGTCTAATGGAGAGGATATATTCTGCAGTCATCAGTTGTGTGTGGTCAGTACATTATGTGGTAGTTATTATGGCTATTCAAATAAGATGAACAAATTTTATTCTATCTATCAAAAATGTAGTGGAGGGCAACCTAAAATATCTGTCAGTCCATGCTAGTGGCAAATATTTTCATCTAAAAGAAAACAAAATATTATTTACATAATATTTGCAATTACATACAGTGACATTTATTGCAATATTAAAACATTAGATGTAAATGAAAAATTTTATTTCACAGATTATTTCTTTCTTTTTTTCTTTTTTTCTAGTGTGTATAAGATTAAGTTTATAATTTTCATTTAGGCCTGGTTTGCTTTGTGTTTCAATCTGAAATAAAATTTATATCTCAGCTGTGATGACAAGGAAAACAAATATCTTTCCATAGCAGAATTAATTACTATATAAACTTGGATGAATTACTATATAAACTGTAGATGAATTAGATATTAGATACTAAGTGTTATACAAATCACTAATTTGAGAATGCAGAAAAATGGAACAGGAGATAAAATTAATTATTATTGAAACATAAAACAAGGAATGATAAAAATAAAGTCAATTACTTTTCTTTTTCATTCAATTTACAGGATAATCCTAAAGGAAAACCCATATATACTTCCATACAAGTGAGTCTGTTTGTTTATTATTCAGCAATACATGTTCATTTCATTGTCAGCTGTGAATAGTATTTGTATGCAAATACCTTTAAATCAGTATGTGCTCAGTGTCCTATGCTTTATGGGAACCTTATTTATGGATTTCATGAATGCATCAAACTGCTGAATCATCATGGCATGTTTACTTATGTAATTTACCATACATTCAGGGGCAGAACTTTATTGCTTTTCTGCAAGTATTTTGAAAAATCTCCCAATTTTTCATTATATTGTCCACTCTCCTTCTCAAATACTTGGAACAGACTTTGAACTTACACATCACTGACTACAGAGAAAAGATAAAGTATCTCCTAGGAATTCAATTCTGTTTATGAAAAACATAGACCAAAAAAGTCCTTTTGGGATGGAGGTTGTCATCCAGGCATGCTGCACCTCCTTTTAACCAGTGCAGCTTGCACAACCCACCTCTATGCAAAAACCACGAATAGAAAAAGTATTACATTAAATTCTGGTGACACTGAGTATTGCAGTCATCTACTTATTTTACAGGTTTGTCTGGAAAGTTATGCTTTTTCTGAAAATTCATAATGCAGACACTGAGGCAGGTTCACAGACACCTTATTCCTCAAATCACTCAGTTCTAGCAGTACTAAAATGAATGTTAAATATGTTTTTATACCTCTCTGTGTGCTTAGGGAAGTTATCAATAACACAAGAAATCACAGGTTATACTTTTATAGTGTAAAAAATTAAATGCTTCTAAATGTAAAAAGTTACATGAGTGTCAGGTTATTTTTGAGATACATATTTGTGTATATATTATATAAATAATAATAATGATTTTTTTCTCTATTAAAGCAGTCTTCTTTAATAAGCAATGCTTTCACAGCCTCTTAAAAGTTTCACTGGTGAACAGCACATGCATATTGTCAACACAGGCATGGAACAAAGAAAAGCAACTCATTTTTTGGGTTTTTTTTAGGAAGGGGAAAATAGTAACATATTTCTAAGATCAAACACAAGAAAGAAATACGTCTTGAAAATGAGAGCAGCTGGCAGTGCCTGCTTTGTGAACCCAGCCTGGGGGGAATGGAGTGCACCTGTTGAGTTTGGTAAGAACAAACCCATGCCCTGGGCTACAGACAGGGATGTCCTTTCTGCCTCACACATTGTCACACACCTATGGACACACACAGGTAAAAAGGATTGGCAAATGTTTTGTTTCACACCACACTACAGAGAAGAGTGGGAAGAGACTTAATCGATTTCTTAACTTTCTAACACTGGAAATAACATTAAAAATTACACCTTTGCAGCTGTAGTGAGCTCCTGCTTACTCCAGGGGGTGGACAAACAGGATCAATGTTAATTCTTCCCATCAGACATTTCTGCTAAAGAGATAAATGACAGAATTCATCTTTATACCGAGTGAAACCTTTCAGGCATTCACCACAGTCAGTCACCACAGCAGATGTTTGACACAGCATGAAGTTCAACAAGACTGAGTTCAAGGTGCTGCACCTGGGTCAGGGCAGCTGCTGATACAGTCTGGGGAATGAAGGAATTGACAGGAGCTTTGCTGAGAAGGACTTGGAGGTGCTGGTGGGTGAGAGGCTGGACATGACCCAGCCATGGGCACTCACAGCCCAGAAAGCCAAACGTGTCCTGGGCTGCATCCAAAGCAGCGTGGGCAGCAGGACCAGGGAGGGGATTCTGCCCCTCTGCTCTGCTGAGACCCCACCTGCAGTGCTGCATCCAGCTCTGGGGTCCCCAGCACAGGAGGGACATTGACTTGCTGGAGCAAGTCCAGAGGAGGGTCACAAGAAGGATCAGAGGGCTGGAGCACCTCTCACAGTCTGAGAAAGTTTGGGTTTTTCTACCTGGAAAAGAGAAGGCTCCAGAGACACCCTGTTGCACTCATCTAGTACCTAAAGGGGCTACAAGAGAGCTGCAGAGGGGCTTGGTGCAAGGACAGGTAGTTATAGTTCAAGAGGGAATGGCTTGAAACTGAAAGAGTGTAAATTTAGGTTAGATTTTAGGAAGAAATTCGTCCTTTGAGGGTGATGAGGCACTGGTTACCCAGATAGGTTGTGGATGCCCCATCCCTTAAAGTGCTCCAAGCCAGGCTGGGGCTCTAAGCAATCTGCTTTAGTGGAAGGCATCCCTGCCTATGGCAGAGTGGCTGGAATTAGATGATCTCTAAAGGTCACTTCCAACCCAAACTATTCCATGTTCTGTAACTATTCCTCATATGACTACTACTACTACTACTCCTACTACTACTACTACTACTACTACTTTTAATTTATTAATGTTCCGCTTCCAGGAAATGAGGAAATTATATCTTCTTCACTATGGATTTTACTTGGGGTAGCAGTTGCAACACCCTTAATGGCAATCATCACATTTTTTTTCTGCAAGAGGTAATATTTAATTTATGCATTTATTTTATTTTCTCTGTGTGTGTGTGTGTAACACCTAAAGTTTTTAAACAAATAAGGTGGAGGTGTCTGTAGGGTAGGTAAACACCATAAGTGAAACAGAAATGGAAAGAAAAAGTATATTCTCCTGTATCATGCACTTTACATAGAAATATACAGTAATTCAGAGAAGATACAGCTCTCTCAACTTGTTAAGACTTTTACCCCCACTTTTCACTGTTTGTAGTGACGTAGCAGGAGAAATTTCTTTCTCTGTCAAAGAAGGAAATTTACTACTAGTAAATCTTCAATCAGAAATTAATCTATTACCTTCTAAATTATTAATGTTTTCCTGATATATGTTCATTCTGTGTTGAGATTATGTATATTTTTCAGTTTACTTCTAAGAGTGGAGAGGAAGATAAGAGCTAGTTCAAGGATGCAATAGTGTTGTCACATTATGGTTATTCAATTTTAATTTTTTATTCAATACATTTTGATTCCCAGGACTGGCTGTTGGAAGGCAGCATTTCCACAGATCCCAGGACCAAAACCTGCTTTTTTTACACTGGCTGATACAAATCCAGAGGTATGCTCTCTTTCTATTTTTATATTAAATGTGTGAAATAAATACAAGGCTCTACTGGCTGAATTTTTAAATGATAAGTAACTTATTACTGAGGATCATTCTTCTCTTTGCCATATTCTGAAGAAAAAGAAAAGAAAATCAGCAGGAGAATTTTTTAAGGGAAATCAAATGCAGTGCTCTTTCAGAACCACGGGGTTTCTCCCATTCCAGTCTCACAGGTGCACAGGCTGATGCTCCCATTGGTAGATCCGGGCAGCAGGAAGGGCTGTTCACTGTCCCAACACAAGGACATGGACAATGACACAACAGAGTGAGGCAGTCAGAAACAAAACCAGCACAGCTGCTTCTACCAGCACCTCATCAACACCAGCAGCAGTCTCTAAAATAGGGTTCTAGACATCACAGTCCTCCTGCTACTCCCCAGCCGAGCAGGGCTGAATTTGCCAGTGAGATTAGCACATCTCCTTGCTCTCTTCATCTACAACCACCATAAAGTTCCTCACACCTGACCCCAGTGTCTGAGCCCTGTGTCCCCCCAGGTCCCCCCCTCCAGGCCTGAATCCCTCCAGGTGCACACCTTGCCTACTTACCCACTTGCAAGTTACACACGCAGGAAAGAAAAGAAGGTGACACAGAAAACAGTTCAAAATAGGATTTTGTAAGGAAACAGGACAGACTGTGGTGGTCACACACAGCAAAAATAGGTGAAATACTCTCAGAATTGTGCATTAGTAGAGACTGACCAAACATTATGTATAAAACTGATGGAAGTTTTTATTTTCCTTTCAGCTGATGGAGAGCAAAATACAGTCAATAACATCTGAAAATGAAGAGATATTATTAGTTGCTGACATCGTGAGTTAACCAAGAAAAATGAAGGAGTCTGAAAGTGCATTTCTCAGACAACTGTGTATCCCTGTGGAAAGTCTTTATTTCTTTACTTTGTTTACTTTCTTTACTTTCTTTAATTTCTTTACTTTGTTCTTTTTCTCACATATAAGCATGTTGGAGCCAAGAGAGAATGATACCTCATATGCAATCTTTTTAAATGCCATTGTATTTGCTTTTATTTTTAGCTAATTTTAACTGTTTGGGTAAGTTGTCCTTATTGGATATCTTCTATTTTGTAAATATGTTTGGAATATTTTATTCAAGAAGTTTTAGTTACGTTTTAATCTTAAGGAAAAATAACTGTCTTTCTATTTCATATTAAAAAGATTAATTATTAATTTATTGAGTTTAATAAAATTTTTAAAATTCTAATGCCTGAATTTCACTGTTCTACTGCCAAAAATGGGTCATCTCATACTAGAAGTTTCTTTGGAGCTCTTCAAGTACACATGGGCAACTAGAAAAATGAGATTCGCTCAGATTTTTACACTAGACATTTGAACATCGCTATTTGATTATTAGACTAATTTTAAAATGGTACTAGATGTTTTATTATTAGACTAAATATTCCTGGGACTCTTTTCTTGCACAGGCGCCAATTCACATACAAGAGTCCAGACACACTTTCTTAAACCCCTAAATAAAGTGGACACATGCAAACTACCTTTAGAAATTAGCCCTGGCCTGAGCTAACCTCTGGACTATGTCCAGGAGCTGTTCAGGACATTACTTGTAAATCCTGGCTGAACTAATGCTGGGAACAGTTGTTCCTGGACATGTTCCAGTGCTGGGGCGCCTTCCAGTGCTGTACTTTCTGCAGCTTATACCGTGGCTGAACACAAACAGCTCTTGGCACACCTATTGCCTTTGACACAGTTAATGATTACCTTTTGGTCAAAGACTCACCTGGGAAGCTTTTTGCAGCAGGTCAGAACAAAAAAGCAAATTTCTAAAAGAGGCTGAATTCATGCTGGACACAATTGTAAACCATCTTTGTATTTTTCCCAGTATGCAGCAGTGGTCAGAATGGAAATGCTCACAATAACTTGCTAAAAGGCTGGTGGGGTTCTAACAGACTGGTTTACATAACCTTGCACAGTAACTCTCCTCTTGGGCAAAATTGCCAGAGTGAGGCATAGTTTGGCTCCAGTCCACCAAAACCTAACCATGAGCTATGAACAACCATCCAGTGGCTCAACCTGATGAAGGGAATAGTAAAATATAATAAAGACAGTATCGAGACAATCAAGAGATGGCATGGGGGTCTTGTTAAGTAGAACTTAAACAAACTGTTCCTTTGTTTTCTGTTTTCTCCTGGAGAGGGATAACATATTCAACTGATGCAGGAAAGGTGTTACAGACAGAACCCTGATGAAGGGTTCCAGGATACAATGTAAAATCATTGAATCACAGAATGATCAAGGTTGAAATATACCTCCAAGATCATGGAGTCCAACCCTTGACCTAGCACCACCACCTTTCCAACAAAGCCATGCAATTCAGTGCCACATACTGAGTGCCAAAGTGTCATTTCCTGAACACTTTCAGGGATGGTGAGCCACTCCTCATATGGCTTACAAATGGATCAGTTAAAACTAATTCAACCACTGTTTGGCCAGCCTGAAGGTCAGGTGATACTGTAATACCACCTTCACATCACCTAGAGCCTCCCCAGACATGCCATCACAGCAGCATGCAAATCCCTCATCAAAATTAATCAGGCACCCTGACACACACCTTGCATCACAAATATGTGTGACATGGAAGGTCAAGGTGGCAGTGGTGGCACCCATGCAGAGCACATTTGATGAATAAACAATTTCAGATCACACTGAACTGGGACTACACATGTACTGGACGTGTTTCTTTTAGGCTAAAATAAGTAAATTAAGTCCTTTAGTGAGTAGAAGATTTGAAACACTCATGTCTTGTTCCCAAGGTACTGAAAAGCTGACAAAGACCAAGCCAATGCCAGTATGTGGTTATCTAGACAAAATTCTGCAGCTGAGCTCTGCCTCACACATGCTGTGACTAAACTGTTACTCATTTCACTTACCTAGTTTTTTCACTCAAGGATTTGAAAAGGAAAATAATGTTAACATGTCCTTTTAGTGGGAATCACTGGGTAAAGGTGGGCAAGACGAGCAATGTGAACTGAAAGGCAAAGAGGTTTAATATTTGAAGTCTCTAGTTTGCTGTTGGTGGATCTGGGTACATACACTAGGAAAACAAACAAACAAACAATCAAACCCGCCTACAATTTTTGTTCAATTATAGCAGGGTTAAGAACAGTTCTTCCTTTAGCAGACTGACTACTAAGGATCTTCCCTCACTCCTTAGAAAGCTGGGGAATTCTTCACCTTCCTGCTATTGTGCCTCTGTTGGGAGTGGAAGGCAGGGGTTAAATGAACTCCTGTTTGCTAAAAGCATCCAAGAACAACAGAAAATAATAATAAAAAACCCCATTACATGCAGATTATATAACTACATGTCAGATGTCATGCAAAACAAATGGGGAAGTGACTAACAGTCAGAGCCACATCTGAAGCTGCTGAAAGTTAAAGCAAATAAATTGGATTATGCCTCTCATGGCTGCAAAGATTTTTGCAAATGTAACATTATGATATTCAGTAAATGCTTTGGAAATTTAATTTCTGCAGTCAGACACTTTTTCACCTAACATGATATTGCAGCCTAAGATGAACCAAAAAAAACCAGCCCATAGTTGGCAGTGAGAAAGTTCAGAAATTTGAGTCTGGTATTTTCCTTGGTATTTCTTTGCCTGCAAATTTGCAATACAGAAATTTCTCGGCTGTTTGTATATACCTGCTAAGGACTGATCTGCCTAGAAATAGAACCTGAGCTTGTGCAGGGACCATAACCAACACAGGAAGGCAGTCACTTTAAACATGGACTAGTGACACAACACTGCTGTTATTTCCAGAACATACTATTTATGAAAATCTGATTATTTACAGAGGTGGAATTTCTATGAGCATGTTGATATACTGTGACCCTACTGAGTACTTATGTATTTTTGGGTAATGTGTTTGCATATTGTGACATTAATGCTTAGTTCATCTGACATAACAGGAAGGAAGAGTTATTTGCATGATCTCTTCACGTGAAGTTGTTAACATCTGCCAATCAGGAAACTTAAGGAAGCTCAAAAGCAGTAAGGGAAATGATAAAGTAAGCAGCTTTCTAACTTGCAGCATTTTTTACTTAGTACTGTCATGCAGTAAAACAAAGCTAACTGGCAGAGCAAAACATTTTCAGATTTCTGCATGTGACTACTACTACACGTTAAAGCGTCCTTGTTGCTGCAAACCAAAACCAAACAAGGTAAAAGAGGAGAGTTTTCCAAGAGGAGGTACGTCTCTCTGTGTTGTGTGTTGATTTTTTTGTGCCACAGAAGATCTTTTGCAGGATACAAATATTTTCCAGGGATTAAGTTAGGTACAGTCATATTTTCACATGTACAAAATATGGATTAGTGTCCTTTGAGTTTAAGGAATTCTAGATAATATTTTCAGGATTCTTTTACCTATTTGATTAAAAGTAGAAATGTGTAAATACAAAATTTCTAAAGATTTCTGCAAGATCCAAGGAAAACTATGAAATGTCTGTGATATCTATTGCACTATTTGACATTTTTTGTCTGACATCTATTTTTCAATAACTGAAAGAAATGCTATTTTCTGTACCCTTTCTATGAATTAACCAGAAATATGTAGATTTCTATTTCTTGGGGGAGGGAAAGCAGATCACAAAATCATGGGAGGATTGAGGCTGGAAGGCACTTCTGGAAATTGTCCTATCCTGAGCCTTGCTTAGAGCAGGGGCAGCTACAGCAGGTTGCTCAGGGCTTTGTCCAGTCAGTATCTCCAACACTGGAGACTTCAAAGCTTTCCTGGAAAACCTGTTCAAGTAGTTGACTACCTCACAGTAAAAGGTGATTTCTTGTGTTTAAATTGAATTTCCATTGTTTCAGTTTTTGCCCATTGCTTCTTGTCCAGTCAGTTGTCACCACTGAGCAGAGCCTGGCTCTTTCTCATTCCCCACAGCTGCTGGGTCTTCGTCTCCCCAGGATGAACAACCCCAGATTTCTCAGCCTATTCTCATGTGTCAGAGCCCTTTTGTTGGATTCCCTCCAGTAGCTCCGTATCTTTCTTCTTCTGAGGATCCCAGAACAAGACCTAGCACTTCAGGAACACCCCCCTTGACCTGCTGGCAACACTCTGCCTCATGCAGCCCAGGGTGCTTTGATCTTCTGTTCTGCAAGGGCACATCACTGGCCCGTGGTCAGCCTGTGCTCTTTGCTTTCCAGGTGGATCTCAGCCTCTGCTGGTTGTTCCTCCCCAAGCAGAGGACTCAGCATCTTCCTTTGCTAAATTCCAAAAGATTCTTGTCATCCCATTTCTCCAGCTTCTCCAGGTCCCTCTGAAGCAAAAATAGTTGCATGGCACCCACTTCTCCCAGTTTTGTATCAGCTACTGGAAGCAGAATACTGATCTAAAAACTGAAATAGTTGTATTTAGGCAGCAGCTTGACAATAATATGTCATTGCTTGGTATGCATTGTAAGGTTTCTATTCCTATTTCAATGATTCCAGGAAGGCTTAGCCAGGGTATGATATTCTCCATATCTCAGCAATGTATAAGTGTCAGTTTATCCTCATGTGACCCTATAAGAAAAATACAAAGTCTCATTTCTGGAAGTGTGTCAAGGGCAGGAGTAATTTTCCCGGAGACACTGAAGCAAATAAGTGACTGGTCTCAGGTGACATTTTCTGGTACCATCCTGCACTCGCAGCCTAAGAGCAAAGACAATAGACTAAAAGGGTAAGAATTGACAGTGCTTAAGTCAGTATTTAGTGCATGCTTTCTGTAGAAACCACTACAGGCTACCTGACAGTATTTTACTTCTGACACATTGATAAGGCGGATAGACTGGGCTTATAACAAACTGCCCTGGAGAGAGCTAGGGAGTGAGCTAAGAGTTGAGGTTTCTGGAAAACAGGTGCTTGAGTACCCCCTGGGGCTCTTCCCTGTGTAGCAGGATAGACACACACTTCTGAGGCTGGCCAGGGGAGAAAGAGGAAAGAAGAAAGGCAGAAAAAATAATCCAGTTTGGGCATTTTCATCCCAATAAATTGTATTTTGATGAAATACGAGGAAATACTGCTTACACCAGAATATGTATGGTTCTTCTGGTCTGATCCTCCAAATAACACCCACAATCATTTTGACACAAGTGTTCTTTCTGGCACCTTCAAAACTGAGGTGACTTCAGACCAGAGGGACCACACCTCTCTGAAGAAGATCAGTCTGGGAGAGGGTAGAGGTCCTGAAGACAGAAAATTCCTAAAAATATGATGCTGGAGCCACTTGTTTGGCCACTGTACAGAAGGTCTGGATTGCTCAGCTGAATGGCTCAGGGCTCACCACAGCTCCTACGTCGCCTATGCTGCCTGTGGGCAGAGAAAAAACAGAACCTGGGGAATTCAGCTGGAATGGTCATTTCTTATGAGGAAAGGGAATGCTTACAGGCCCTGCTATTCCCACTGCATGTCCAATGAAATGTCTAGAGAGTGGAGACAATGATGCCAGCAAACACTTCTCTAAGCAGACAGGGCTGTGGATGATTCCTATGGCAGTGTCCCAGATGAGCATTTCCATGAAAAAGCATGAAGGGCACTTGCAGCATGGGGCTGCAGTCATGTGTAGGAAACCTGAGGGAGATTTTGAGAGAACAGGAGTAATCAGAACAGAGTGAGGGAGATCTCAAGAAAAATGAAAAAAAAGAAAATAAAGGAAAGGTGAGCAGACAGTTGCCAAAGAATAGGAAAACAAATGCCTAGAAAAGGAACATGGGGAAAGGAAGGGGGAAGTGCTGAGTGACTGAACAGAAGGGACAAAACAGAGAAAACATTATTAAGAGGCTAACTAGAAGGACAACAGGTCTCAAGGTTCTCATGTGCATTACCGGGGAGGTCCCTGAGACCATGGGAAAGTGGAAATAACTCTTGAGACAATATCTCATAGAAAATTCAATGGCCAGTCCTCCATACTGTTTGTACTTGAGATTCTTCAGTATCACTTCCCAGCAGCCTTGGCCACATCCTTACTGTAGTATGGTGATTTACAAATATGGATGCTGCAAGAGATAAGCAGGTTGCAGTGAAGAGTCTGTGTCTGTTGCAACCCCAGGGTGGTGTCCTGGCCCAGCTTGAATCTTGGGGATCATGATGGAAATGTCACATCAAGCCAATTTCCAGGAAATGTGACATGCCTTCTGAAAATATTCAAGATTACAGAATGACTTACTTGGAACAGCAGGGTGGGTTTTTGCTTTCGCCACAAGTGGAGTCAGTTTGAAATCAGCATTCTGAGATGACCATAAAAATTAATATAAAAGGGCTGACTAGTAATAAAATATTACCACGTTTCTCTTTTTTCCTGAGCTTGTATGAATTTAATTCAGTTTTAGAATTGTCCTTAGTATTATCTGTAATCAAGAAAATTGCTGCTATGAAGTTGCACTGCTAGACAATGCTAAAGCAAACAAAAATTTAACCAGAGTTGCTTCTTTATGTAGGGAAAAAAACAAAAAAAAAAAAAAAAAACTGGAAATAGAGAAATATTTTCTAAAATGTTTTCACCTCCTTGGAGAAAAAGAAAATTGTACATAAGATGAGAAATGTTTGACAAGACCTGTTGCCAGTGTTTGACTAGCTTTGCTCAGCCCTCCATACAACATGAATGAATGTGGAGTCGTCCTTTGCAGGTGCTCACACTTCCTTAGTAATTTCAATTGCCTACAGTGATCTGGAACTCATTTGACTCCTTGGTTTCTGACACTGAAGCAAGAAAAATTTGAAGGAGACTCTTCTGTATGGATGCAAACCTCTAAGAACAGTGAGAGTTATGTAGTTTGAAAGTGGAGACCCATTTGTGACAGCAAACAGGAAGAAATACTGTGGTGCCCTGGCCTTGGCTGGCCACCAGCTGCCTACCAAGCTGCTCTCTCATTCCCCCTCTTCCTTATTTTCTACTTCCTCTCAGCAGACAATATTCAGCCACTCCCTGAGACAGGGGGCTGCAGTACACATAGCAGCTGCTTTGGAAGTCAAACATCTGGACAAGAAATGCCTCATCCTTCCATCTCCCTGGTTTTATTGCTGAATATGCTGCCGTATGATATGGGCTACCTCTATCAGTTGGGGTTAGCTGTCCTGGCCGTGTTCCCTCCCAGCCTCTGGCTCATGCCTGTCCCACTGGCCTCTGCAGAGTTGTTGGGATGGGGCTGGAGAGACAGCCCTGATGCTGTGCCAGCACTGCTCAGCAGCAGCCAAAACACTGGTGGGTTATCAACACCATTCTAGCTGCTAGTACAAAGCATTGTGGTGTTCACAGGATCAGAAAGCAAGAAAGCCTGACTCTCTGATGGTACAGTTAGGATAGATATGTGGGAAAAAGTAACTCTCAGTCATGGTCTCTGCACTGAATACAGTGAGTGTGTTTATCATCATGAGAGTCTGTGGCTTCTTTATCTCAAGCTACGTTGTTTTAGGCAGTATCATGGCTATTCAGTTAGTTCAAAGAAGAGGTGCCTGAAGCTCATCCTCTGATTGGCTTTTCTAAAGAACATTTTTTAAAAATTAAGTTTTGCAAAACCAAAATACTCCTCAACATGATTTTCCTTTCATTTTTAAAAATATTTTCCTTTTTCTTACTGAAGGTTTAATTATCTCTTTCCAGAGAAGGAAATATGTTTGATACTCTTGGACTCATTTGTATGATTTTGTGGTATATGATGCTATTTCATCCCTTGCATGCTGACATCCAGTGTATGGAGTGTAAGTATGTTTTTGCAAATATAATCTGAGAAACAAGGTTTAACTCTTCATTTATCAGAGATGCTTGCAATGAAACTGGCAATTGCTATCTTAAGCCTGACAGATACTATCCTCTGTATTCAACAAAAGCAATAGCATATCCTTACTGAACTTATGCTGCTACATTTTCAGCAGATGCACAGGAATCACCTATTACAAATGTGAATGTGGACTGGAGAAAAATTGAACTGTCCTGGGAGAGCAGCAGGAATTTCTCTGAGTACAAATGTATCATCATGGGCAGAGACATGGACTATATGGACACAGAGGTAAACTTGCTATTCATTGAGATAAAAAATTGTACCTTTTATCAGCTTCACTTATTTTGAAAAAAATGAATGTCGCAGATAACATCTGACTTGTGGCTGTTTGCAGCCCACAGCTTGATCTCTTAGGGGCTGTGGAAAATCATCAGCAATGCCAGGGTGCATTTACTGTGAGATGAGCACCCAATGCTTACTAAAGAATTGAAATTCTGACACCAAAGTAGAAAGAAAAGTGATAGCCTGAACTGCAGCTATGTTGAGTCGTAAGTAGGGATGTAGCTGCTAAAAAATGGGGGGCTGTGAGATTAAGTGAGACTTCTAGAGACTTTAAAGAGACATAGGAAGAGACCCCCCCACATACAAAAACCCCAGAAACACTGCTATGGATTATGGTTATCTCAAGTTCTTCACTTGTTTCCCAGTAAACCATGTCTGTTGCACAGGCTATGCTATAAACCCACATTATCCAAAGAGGAAAATAGGAAGCTCGACAAATAGAGATAGGAAGCTCGACAAATAGAGATGGCTTGTTTAGCCTGGCAAAACAGGTGCCCTAGAAATACACAGTACAAAATAGATCACACCTTTTGACATTTATGTGTATAACACCATAGACACTTTTTAACCTCTGGGCAGGTCAGCAGAGGACTTTTGCTTAATCCTTTGGTTAAACTCCTTTGTGGCTCCCCTATGTATTTGCCATCTTCTGTTGTGCCGTTGGGCTACTATTAGTCTCATAAAATAGTGGCACATTAGTCTAGCATCCAACTCCTGAGCTGCAAAGCTTTTTATGTAGTTATGTTTTTGATTGCTTGAGTGTTAAAGGAGAGAGATATTTTTTGAACCAAAAACATACATATACATGGAATTGCATTCCTGAGTTGCACTTCCATAGCCAGCCTCATCTAAAATCAGAAGAACAAAAGCAGAGAAATAAAATATCAGGTTCTCTTTACAGGTGGATAGTCCACTATGCAGCTTTCCAGTGGAGCTACACATGCCTATGCACAAAGGGGTAACCTTTATCATTGAAGTGCCAAACACAAACATCTCAAAACAATGCAGCTTTCTTCCTGGAGGTAATGTATCTGGTCTAAAGTTTTATGCTTTTGCAATCTTTTAAAGGTAAACATTGCCTTAGAAAACAGTTACTTACACAGTAGGTAACTGCTATATTTTCTATTAAAAGCTTTTTATTTTCAGATCTGTTAAAATTATTTGCTCTGTAATAAATGTCTCCATCATTCTGCAAGAGAAGTATTACAACAAATGTATCAAAAATTGGATTATTCTCCTTTATACTAAGGCTCAAAAATGCTAATAAATCACAGTAGTTTAAAGGTGGATACAAATAACTCTTCTGGCTGTCACAAATTAAGATGTTAGTACTTATTTATTGAATGCTTTTCTACTGGGCCGTTGGGGAGTTTGTTGTGACCCATTTTTCCCTTCCTTCTCAGCTCAGACTTCTCCATTAAAATTCCCCAGCCACCAGGGGTGCAGCAGCTGTGTGTAACTGGGGTATTTCAGATATGACAGAGGTGATGGATTAGCAGATTTCTCATGTCTGAGCAGAGAAAATGCACGCTGCTCTTCTCTTCCTGTAGACTTGCCAGCAGAAACATTCATGGTGACCCTCAAAATATAAGCCAGAATGCACAAAACTTTGTTGCATCTCCCCTGCTGGCGTTACCTTCCATGTGTGAAGCTTCCCCAGAGGATTCCCCTGTTCTTCCATAAGGTTGCCCTCTTTATTGGGCACTGGAGAGGGCTGGGGTCAGTAGCAGAGGAAACCTCCATGCATTCACTGAATTTAGGGCATAGCACAGTAAGAAGCAGAAAACTGGTTGAAGAAGAGAGGAAGAGGCTGAGCATGCCTGCACAGCCCAGCCATGAGGGACCTTGCAAAGAAACGAGGTTCCCATTTCAATGTGCTCCAGAAAAGCAAAAGAACAAGTTGCTGTCACCCACATGAAGGTAGAAAGATCTAAAGAGGAGCCTGCTTGATTGGAGAGCAGGAAAAAGTCCAACCTTAAAAAAAAAGTATCTGCTTTTTTAATCCTCTGTGTAAACCTGTCAGGAGTGGTTTCTTGGGCATTAATCGGAAAAGGAGAAATACTTATCTTTGTAGCAGCATGGACGGTATTAAACGGCAATGTGCCTTCCTTTACTTGTGGAATGCTTCACTGACATGATTTTCCTCATCATGGATATTCCTGTGTTTGCAGGCATGAAGGGGTCAGCCATTGAAAACTTCTCCTGTGTGCTTTATAACATCTTCCTCATGAACTGCACTTGGCAAGCAGGCAGGGATGCTCCAGCAGACACACAGTATTTTCTCTACTGGCAGAAATCAAGGTAAGTAAGTCTGCTTGAGACAGAGAAGTCTGAATTCTCATTCAACACATCACAGTGCCCATGTTTAACTGAAATATTTTGCTGTATGCAGAGTGGACAATCAGATGGAATGTGAGCTTTACATTAAAGATGAAAATTGCAGAAATGTGGGATGTATCTTCCAAAACGTGAGCATAGGGATTGAAAAAGCTTACTACTTCCTGGTGAATGGGTCCAGCAAAGACTCTCTGATCCAGTTCTATGATGAGTACATTGACCTGTATGAAATTGGTAAGTAATTTAATATTTTATTTTATTACTGTTTTATTAAATAAGGAAGTGGGGATTTTTTTTCTCTGAAAAGCATATTAAAAAAAACCAAAGTCTGTAGCTGTTGCAGCATGCTGCACTGCAGGGCATTCTTTGCTTCCAACAGCTGGCAGAATACAGCTCCAAAACTTGACCAAAACAAGCAGAGGCAGAGGCAGCCTGAAAAAAACTGCTAAGACAAGAGGTGTGGATATAGTCATGGATTCCAAGTAATGAAACACAATGGTTAGATTTTCAAGGCCACCTTTCTTAAGGGCCTATTTTACCATGCCTTAATTTCACACCTGAGAGCCACAAGAGCTACATGTCCTAAAACCAGAGTTTGGGCTCAGTTTCCAAATTAGTACTGTGTTAGTTAAATATGTGGGTACCTCTGTGAGTTAGGTGTTTAAGCCCCAAGAGAAATCAGGTCTCACTGAGTCAGCTATATTATAGGCACTCCAATGCAGATGTCTCGAATGCATCATGAATAATACTACATATACAAAAACTTCCTTCCTTTTTCCTACGGAAACTAGCACTGTCCATGTGAGGTTGGAAAACAGATGTAGAAGAAAATGGCACTCTGCTGATTGCACTGCTGAATTACACAAAATCTTTCATACCTTTTCTTTACATGAACTTCATTTACTTCAGATGTCCAAAAACTTCAGTGATATATTCTCAAGTTTTGGTTAGGTATTTTATTGCTCTTTGCCGGATAACTTCAGTTAGCACCAGCAGCACACAGTTGTACATCAGCTGCCTCACCTTCACATGCATTTTGCTGTGAAGGCATGAATTGTAGCTGTTTACTAACTATGCCTATATTAATTATTCCATTTTTTCCCCAGAAATACTCACTGCTCCATTAAATGTCACTGCCCATTGTACCAGAGATCCAACGGGCTGCATAATTACATGGCATCCACCCCTTACAAGTCATGTAGAAAATACAAAGTGTTTTCAGTATGAAATTAGCATACAAAATAAGGTAAAAACAATTTCTTGGTTTGTGTTTGGCACAGTACCTATGCTCATTAAAATCTATAATATGTACATTTCTGATTTCTTTATTTGTTAATTTTTCTCTCATAAGCTGTAGTAACCTCCTGTAACAGTTTTCCTGGTTGCATATCCCATGTGTCATGAACTTCCGCAGCTCAGAGGCTCACCATGGTAGCAATTGCTCAGCCACAAGACCATTATAGGAAAGATCAGCTAAGGGTTAAACATAAATATACAACTGCAATAAAGCAACACATCATTAAATGTCGTTTGTTTATTAAAACTGAGATCAGCGCCTTGCAAGCTGATTGGAATATCTGGATTTTGGATCTTTCATGCATTAATAGTATCTACCTTGGTACCTACTGGTACAAGGAGCAATTGCAGCAATGTAGCTTTCCAGCTGGTTGGTATAATTTGACAATAATATCTTGTGTGAAATACTTACAAAGTTCTACATAAAGATGTAGATCACAATATAGCAATATTGTGAAAACATTTATTTGAAAAAAATACGTGTTAAATCTTGTTTCCTGTGCCACAGTCAGAATTGGGTGGGGGTCAGTGTAGATTTCTACATTTGGGTAGGAAATTCATCTCCTAGACTGAGACACCTTAATGTAGGTGTCTGCACAGGAGCACAAATATCTCCTAAGGGTCAGTGCACATCAGGGCTCCCTGCTGTGGAGCAGTAGGTGCCTCACAGCTCTTGAGGTGCTGAAGGTACCAGCAGTACTGACACGGAGAGGGCAGCTAGAACCTTTCAGGAGGGGCCAACAGAGGTAAGAGAGCTGAAGCAGCACTACACATCTGTTCAAGCAACTCTTTTACACCCTGCTCATTCCCAGCACAGGCTGATGACTTCCATCATGTCCTAAGCAAGTGCATTGAAAGCACTCAGCTGACAATGAGTGATGGGGACAGTCTGCTTTACAGTAAAAGACACACTGTGGGTGCGTTTTCTGTAATGAGACATTCCTTCCAGTTATACCTTTCTGACTTTTCCATAATGCTGGCTATCCTGATATTACATGTGATAGATGTTTCCAGGACCTCAGCTTTTCAATCCTTTCTGAGATCATTGCTAAAAGTCACTGCTGTTGAATTTGTTCACTCATTTTTGAAACTATCCTTTTCTTCGAAATTTTCAGGTTCTTTGATCCAGGTCAATGTTTGATTCCAGTTAATTAAATTTTGATTTTATAGGCTGTGTAAGCAGCTCTTCACAGAAAGCCCCTGAGCATGGATAAGTCTAACAGAGACTTGAACTGGAAGGAGGGTAAATTTGCTATTCACATCAATTTTCACAAACTACTGTGAGATTGCATCTTCCAGATCTGCTGTGTTTGTAGGATGATGTGATTGCTTGTGTAATATGGATATGGATGAGAATGCATAGCATGCATAAAAATACCCTTAGTGGCAAATGCAGCTTCTCACATCTACTGATAAATAATGTTTCCTTCCTTTTCTAAAAGAAAATGTAGAAAGACAAAACTCTGAATAAAGTGCTGTTATTCTGGGACATTACTGGAGAATACTATCCAATTGATTTTTCAGTTTAAAATAACATATGATCTTCAAAAGCAGGAAAATGAGAACAATATAGAGAAATATTTGATTGATAAGAAAATAATAAAAATTAAGATTTGTCTTTGTTTTGCAGGATGAGCCCAAAGAAGAGAAAAATCTTCCTTGTGTAAGTATTCTTGTCAAAATTTGTCACATACAAATTTGTGCTTTTGCCTACTTAAGCATATAAATACCATCACAGAAAATACACTTACTTATAGAACTACAGGTTTTGTATCAATGCACCAATGAGAATTCAGAAAAATATGTTCCTGTGATATCTTTAAATGTAAACTTGATATACCCCTTTTGGATGGCATAGGCAAAATTTTCCACGCATTTCACAAAACTTCATACATTCCATCTATTGCACAAATAGATTTTGTTCCTGACAGAGGAAAAATCTGAAACACTCTTTCTCATTGGAATAATACCACTGTTAGCTCAGGACAGCTAGGCAAAGGGAGTACAGCAATCTTCAAAACCTGGGGAATTTAATAAATACTGTCAGTCTTCCCTTGACAAATGAGTGGTCTTGTAAGCCTTGGAAGGGCTTGACAGATTCCAGACTTTGTATAAAGTATCATGATGCCAAATATTACATATCTGTTATCGTATTATCTCAAGAACATTAAATCAATGACAGACACCATCCATACCTGTTTAATCCCCATGAAGGTTGCAAGGTGAGTTCACAGGGTACTTCTCCAATTTCTGCTTTGTGTCTTTCAGATTTCTTTAGGGTCCACAAACAAGGACAAAAAGAAAAGAAAAGGAAAAAAAAAAAGTGTCCATAAAGCATAATAAAAGAAATCAAAGAAAAAATAAACTTAAAAATATTTTTGCCTTCAAAAACCAGTTTTGCTGCAAGATAGTACATACCTAAAAAAACCAAACATACAAATAATTTTTTTAGAAACTGTACCAGGAAATTTACCCACAAACTTTGTTAATAGTTACCTATGAGGTGAAATGCAGAGCTTGATCACTTTCCTTTTAGGTAAGGAATGATAGATATGAATTCCAAAATTACAATGAGAAAAAAAGATACACTCTGAAAATCAGAGCACGTGGAAAAAACTGTCTTGTAAGCTCAAACTGGGGGGAATGGAGTGAACCCATTGAGTTTGGTAAGACCATGATTTTTTTTTTTTTTCAGTATTACCTTGTTTGCTTCCCTTTCTTCCTCACAGTCACAGAAATGAATAAAATCCTAATTTTTACCCAATTGCAGAAGAACTGGGGGGATTATATTAATGTGGAGGAGTAGCTCCAATACTCTGGCAGCAGAGCCTTTGATTAGCTGGGATTGTGAAGGCAGCAGTTACTCAGAGCCAGGGCTACAGGAACAGACTGAGACAGACCCATCCTTGTCTTTGGTCGGCTGTGATGAGGCTGCTTCTCTGTTCTCTTAAGTTTTTACATGAATATCATCCCCTTCCTCCTCCATCTTTCTTTTCACACTTTACACTAATTTTGCTCTATTAATTGTTCTGTAAGTCTGTTTATTCCTCTCCTTTTCCAGAATTTTTTTTTTTAATTCTCCAAATCTTGCTTCTCTAAATTTTAAATTTGAAAATGTTTAAAATGTTTATTTGAAAATGTTTAAAATGTATCAAGTCTATCTGCATTTTTGGACAAAATTCTATAATGACGTCAAGTTGAAGTCCTTTAGAACATTCAAGAAATGTAGTGAAATTCACATTCATTGCATCATACAGTCACAAAGGCAGCTTTTTAACATTCTAAAATATTTCTCTCTCGCTGTTTCAGGTCAAGGGAAAGATTACTTTATTTTTGTGATTTTATTTCTGATTGCACTTGGAACAATCTCAATTACACTTCTACTGTATTGTCTTTTCAAAAGGTAAATCAACATTTTTTCTGTAGACACTACTGACAGAGTATTATCTATATGAAACACATTCCTCCAACCTCCCACTTTCCTACCTGCAAATTAAAATAATCTGATTATCAATGTCAAGAACTATTACCACCAGGATTGCTGTGGAGGGCCCTTTGGCATGCAAAATCACTAAGTAGAAAAGGGGGAAAGGATGTTGAAGTTATTAACTGATTGATTCTACCAGCTCCTACAAAAGCTGTTTTGTTCTTACTTTTAAGCATTTAACATCCAGGTAGCTTTGAAGCATACAGTACCAGACAAGAGGGAATCCAAATTAACATATTGTTGTTTTGAGAAAACTTCTCACTCAGTGGTGAAAGTTATGTCATGTGATTTATTCAAAGTAATTTACTAATCACTTATTTACTGTGATTCTAGTCACAAAATAAATTTTAATAACCCAAATGCTAAGTGTAATAATACTTACCCACCAGTTACCCCACGGAAAATATTTTATTTCTCATTTAATTTGTAGAGCAATAGATATTCAATCTTGAAAGTAAAAAATGTCCTTAAGTTACAGCACAAAATGTTTGTGTAAGTTATATTAGCAGTATTTTCAAATTCTCCGCTATCCCATTTTCTACCCAAAGGTACTGCAGTTTCAAGAACCTATTTCCTCCCATACCACAGCCAAGAGACAAATTCAATGCATTAACTGATGAAGATATCCAGGTATGATTTCTTTTCAATTCAGTCAAATTTGTTAACTACAAACCACAACAGGCCAAAGACTAGAAGAACTGACTTAAAAAGTAAGTGTTAACATTTGGTCCAAAACTAATTTCTGTCACACAAGCTATTCTGCTTGGAAACCTGAAATGCTCTATGCCAGTACTAAAACAAAAGATTGTCCTGGAGGTATTTGTAGACATATTTTAAGACCAGAATTTACACTTTTACTGAGTTTAAATTTACTTTAATTTCTGTGTGTACCAGCTTTGCAAGGTTGCTGTTCATACTTTAAAAAGAACCAAAGTGAGGATGCATTCCATTAGCATTTTCAAACATCAATGGTCATAATATAAGGTGGATATATATTTCACAAGCCTGACCCGTACCCATATAAAAATCCTGCCACACTTAGTGCAAATCAACAGGGCTGGAAAGACTTAACAGTGAAACTAACCTTCCTCTTGCATCAACACAGGATTTGCAATTTCAGTGTTTTGTTGAAATTGTATTTGACCAGTATCCTGTAGCAGCCCTGTGCAGCCTATTCTGTGTGTTTATTTAGCCTAGCTTTTAAAAAGCCTTTTTAATAGCTTGGTTTAACACACTTAAAATCCATTACTTTTTACCCTTATTCCTTTCCCGTTTACAGTATCTTACACACCTGCACACTGTCAACAGCAAGTAACTCTTCTGTCTGTCTGCACACATCATGACAACCAGGCTTCAAACCATTCATGCTTCCCAAATCCATCCATTTGAGCAGTGGTTTGTATGGTGACTGCATAGTGAAGGGATGCTTTCCCTCAGCTGGCTAAAGCAAAGACATACTTGAAATCAGTAAATCAGGCTAGTCATTAATTGCTTAAAATTCAGTGGGCAAACCACACGTTCAATGAGGATGCCTAAAGTGACACATAAATTTTCCTTCAATCATTTACAAAGAATCCCCAAATCTCTGAATACTGAAACTCTCTAGTTTTCGTAACTATATACCAGCTTGTCCTGATTAATTTGTGTTTGGTCCTACCACCTTTGGCTTTCACAGAAAGTAGGTAGGAGTGTGACTTAGACAGGTTTCCTCATACACCTTGTCATAAATACATGGTTTCTCACTTCCTACCAGGCTGCCAGAGCTAAGGCTACAGAGCAGCAGCAGTCTACAGCCCATCATATTAAATAATAATAGCTAGGAAAGTAACAAGCAGTTTTTGGAAAATTGCATACTGATTGCTTGCTTTTCCTGAACTTGAGTGGATTCCAAATTCCTGTGCATATACAGTACCAAACACACTCAAACCACTCCACTACAACCCAGAGGTCTTTGTGGATGAGGTCCAAACTGTGGCACAGGAACTTCCATGCAGGGAGCAATGCAGCAGCAGCAGTTGCCAGAGTTAAATGAAGCCCTCATGTTACCTCACGCCTGCCAACCACTGCTGTGAAGATAATTCATATGATTTTGACATGTTTAAACAGTTTGATCTGCTCCTAAAACCTAATTTTATTTTGCCTCTTCTCTCCAAACTCAGTACCTTTAACACTGATTGAATGTTGTAATTCTTCAAAGTTATTAAAATAACACAGTACAAAAAGTACATTTTCAAAAGCTCTCCTCCACTGAATACCACTCTCCCTGACATTTAGTGCTAATGGATTTTTGAGCTGTTTTGAAACCTGCAATATCCTTTGCTAATCACACCTTTTTAAAGCTTGCATTTTCTCATTTTCCCTCTATTTACTCAATGACCTTTCACATTTTCTAATTATTTTCTCTGATTACACAATGCTTTTCCTGAGATCGCTGGAAAAGCTCATGATCAAAAAAACCTAACTTTCTGCACTGCATCCTTAAAACACTCATGTTAAAGAACTGCCAATTTTATTTGCTTTAAGATCCTACCAACCAAATCATCCAGTGCATCAGACAAATTGCACTCCTCCAATCCATTTTATTTTACTCATCTTACTACAGACCAATGATTTTCTAGTCATTCTCCCCATATGCTTTCCTCACCATTACTGAGTTTTGTTGCCTCTTGCCTGGAGTTAAATATATTCCAAGGAACTTTGTAAGACACTCTTTGCGCATTTTCCTTGGAGAACAGTAAAGTAGCCCAAAACACCATGACCACAAAGCCTTGCAGTGCTTTACTCATTCTTCAGCTTTCCTAGAAGTCTCTAGAACACCCTGGTTTGATGTTCTGCAGCATACCCTCAGTATGACAGTAAGCTTGTTTTTTTAACCTGTTTTCCCCACCAGTACTAGCTCTCCTTTTTTTTTTTTTTTTTAATTATTTATCTTCCCGCAAAACTTGAAACTCCAAGTGCTCTGACTACTACAACCTTACCTAGCAGCAGGCACTCTCCAAGAACTCCAGGTTAGCCAATGTAAAAATGTTTGATAGCAACCAAAATATTTTATCTACATGCCTAGCCAATACCTAATATGGAAAACCCAGCCAATAGTAACTGAATAAATTCCTTCTGTTGTCTCAGCTAAGGCTGTCCAGCATCTAAACCAGCTTCTATTCTTCCTCCTGCTAACAGTTAGTACTGCTCAGTCATACTGATACATTCATTAACTGTCCTTAAACTGTTTTCTCCTGCCTTGCAATCATTTATTACCTATTAAAAGACTAAGATGGGATGCCTTTGGTACCGCAGAAACTAACGTTCAGAATGGTATCAACTTGTAGCTTACTGCATGATACAGCTTTTTCTTTCCCTTTAGACAGAGTATGTAAATCTACCAACAAAAAGTCATGCTGAGAAAATAACTACAATTGAAGAATGATCCAACATTCCAAAAACACACCTGACTCCCCAACATGAAAATTATGGATCTGCTGACAAGTACTTCAAACCAGCCTATAAAAGGACACAATCACCTACAGAACTGTTTGTCGCCTTAAAATCCACTTAAACGGAGATGAAAAAAAGGGAGAAAAATCACTGAAATTTGTTCTTTCTCCCTTGTTCAAACCCACAATGACTGGCAACTAAGCTTTTCTGCAAGCATCTACTCTGAAGTGCCTAAACCTTGCTAAGAGGTTCTTCACAACGTGAGACAAGCCCTCTTAACCAGAATAAAGCTGTTATTTCCTGACATCATTGCTATGAAGCTTCTTCCATTATAATGATTTCCTGTAGGCTGACAGCCTTGCTGCATAATGCCACAGCAATTTTACTGTAATTTTTATATGCCCAGTTATTTTCTAAAACACAAACCAGATATTTGGAATGTGTTTAAATTTGGTCTTTGATCTTCCAACCAGTACCACCAAGCTATCCCAGTATGTGCAATTAACTTTATGCAAGACAAGAACAGAAAATATAATTATTAATACTGATCTCAGTCAGCCATTTCATGAGCTCAGTATTGCAACTGTCAAGAGACCTCCGCAACACCATGATCCTGTGCAGTTTTAGTATGCACTTAAGTAACACAAATAGCATTGAAAGCCTTCAAAGAAATTCCAATAATTGTGAGAAATGAAATAAAATCTAATATTTAATAGCTAGATATTAAATGCAAAAATTCCTCACAACTGTATTTTAGTTTCTCCCTTCAAAGGGTGCAAATGCTATTTCCAATGCCTTTTAAAAATAATATAGGCTTTAGATGCCAGTATTTTCTTTCACAAATGCTAGATAGTTTCCTGTTCATACTTCTCAAAATGAATGAAATTCAGTGTTTCAATAAGACAGAGAACAAATGTTTTTTTTAAAAGTCTCATTTATTGTTTGCCTCTTACATCCCTAAACTGCATCACACATTGGAAATTGCTGCTGCATGACTAAGGGAAGCCATATATTAAAAAAAACAACAGACCTGAACACCACAAATTAGTTCATATTGAATGTACAGCATAGGGAAATTGCAGTTTGACTTGAACTCTTTGTCCTGGTTTAGGGCAAATTTGGGAGGATTTGCTTCTTTTCCCATTTCTTTTGGTTAAACCTTGTTCTGAAGGGGAGATTGGATGTAAAAGCCCTATCCCTGTCAGGGGCTGCTGAAGTAACTACATTTGGTTTTTCCCACAAAGATTAAGCTCTCTCACAGGGAGGTATCCCACCATGATCTCTACCCTTGCAAGGCACTGATACAGAAAGAAACCTGATTAATATGTTTATGTAGACAAAATGTTTTCCCCTGCTCCCCAGCACATTGACCGGCAGGGTTAACACCAAATAACCTGCCTGCACCACAGGGAGCTGCTACTGCCACACAGGATGTAAGAACCATTTGCAGCAGGTACATGAAGTTTGCCAGCAGCCTGTGTACAAAGTAGCTGTGTGATGTCCTTACATTCACATAAAGATGTTGAAAGCAGTGCTTGTGCAACAGTGAAAGGAAAAAGGTAAAGTACACTCAAGAGGAAGGTAATAACCAGCCAAAGCCAAGCAGGTAATTTAAATACTTCATCCGGAATAGCAATCTCAGAAGGCACACAGAAGAACTCAAGACAGCTCAGTCAGCCTTCAATGAGTCATACAATGACACAATTTTCCTTTCTCAAGATATAGGGAGAGCTCTTAAAACATGAAGATTAACACCTTGTTTTCCTCTACTGGTCCCTCCATGATGTCTTTGCAGATTACAAAGTACAAAAGATTATATACATATGCAGAACGGCACATTATCTCAAATATTATTACATTATCTCAAAGAGCAGTTATGAGAAATGACTCAATCTGGTCTTCTGACCATCCCTAAACATTAATCAGTTAATACTGAAGGCTGACCTACTTTGATGTTTTGTTTTACAGCTACATAGAAGCACACATTCCCTCCCCCACAACTCTTCAACTTCACCCATTAGACTGCAACTCATTTCAGATTAAATTCAACCTTCCAGAGCTACTGTCCACTGCTACAGATGAGGCCAAACAGTATCCTGAATGGCACCATCAACATTTCCAACCAGCAGCAACAATACAATACATAGGACACTCAGAAGTTGAAGGCATTTACTGGGTTCCTGGGTTTTTGCATGAATGCCATGATGCTTTCCATACCGATTTGACAAAAAAAATTATTTATTTTAGGCTGTTTTACCAAGGGCAAGAGCATGACTTTTTAACAGTCCTTGGTACTTTGGGTTTTCCTAGCACTACAGCTGAACCGCACCCCATAATTTTAAATCATAATAGAAGTTGTAAATCAATCTCTAAGAATCATGCAAAAAGCCACTTGCAGCAGCCCATCATACACTATCAGGCACAAAGAATGGGAGTGGTTTCTATTAGTACAACCCATGCTTCCCCACCCCTCCTCCTAAAGATATCACATTTATTTTTTTAAAAAGCTTATTTGTGTAAAGGTATCAGAGGACCCATTACCTGAAACAAGTTTTCAAATACAAGAGGCTTTTCCAAAGCTTTTATGTAATAATTTCAACACAGACCGAGTAAGTATGTTTATTGTTTTACAGCAGAATGCCCCAATTTAAGAACAAAGTTGCTAGATGTTCAGCTGTGCAAAATGGTACATAGTGCTTCAGTACAAGTGGAAAAAAACATGATTTGTTAGCAAATGCTTTCAAATACAATTTTATGGTCCTATAAGATAGGACTTGAAACTGAAGACTGATCCACAGGCAAATGTTTTTTTTCCTGCCTCAATTGGACCTAACAACTTTGGACCCAGAACCAACGCCACTCATTCCTTACTGCTGTAAAGAAAAACTCACACTGAATTGCCAGATTCAGTGTTTTCATGCATGTTACAGAGAAGTGGATCAGTCCTCTATGTCAGTTTCTAGCCCCATCTAGAAGTATCATCTGGCTCCGATAAATAAGACTCACAGGAATTTCTTGAAGGTCAATGGTCCATAATGGTAGTTATTCTACATGATCTGCTCAACTTGATTTCCAATTCTATTTAGGCTGTTTAAATTACTTTCTTGAATTCATCGTACAGCACAAGCACGAAAGCACCCCCCATGCCTCTGAGAACATTAGACCATGCACCCTTGAAGAAGGCCTTTCCTCCTTCATCCCTTGCAATCTTCCGCCAGCAGTCAATTGTTCCAGAGTACATGATATCAGCTGCAGGAAAAGAGCAAACAGTTATTCTTCATTCCCGTTTCATTTCAAATGATTTTAACAACTGCCCTGTTTCATCTAACTGCTTTGTGATGTCCCAAACCACAATTTCAAAATGTAACACAATACTTACTAAAAATATTATGCCTCCTTTTTAACCTTTGTTTAATCTAACAATGCAAACAAGCAGTCCATTTTTTCAATGTCATGTTCCATAATGAAAAGTTCTCAGTACACATCCTGACAATCTCAGGTTGAGCCTTACTGCATTTCCTCATTTGAGTACAATATAATAAACCAGATTTATGGAACAATGAACTGTAATTCTGAGAATGGCTATTAGTAAAAAAGAACTCCATCTTGTTAATGCTGTTTCAACAGCATGAACAGCTCTATGGATTTACAGCCTACCTCCTTTGCGTCCTGACTGCATCATCATCCTACGCCGCACTGTGTCGAAAGGATAGGAGACCACGCCAGCCACAGCAGTCACTGTCTGGGCGATCATCCAGCTGATAACAATGTGAGTGTTTCTGGGATCTGGGAGCATGCCTGCAGTAAAACAAAAATGGCAATTAGCTTTTTAACGTGCACATCCTCCTCTGGCTCACTGACTGCATGACAGCTATTCTACTACATGAACTAGTATGAAACACTGTAGATCCATACTCTAAATAAAATTGCAGCATAACATTTCACAAACTTTAAACATAGTGAAGGCATATTAATAAGATTTTTCTTCTCAGTAATCACAGTGAGTTACAATTTAAGCATTCTTTTTAGACTGGCATGAAAAGACTTGACTATTCACTATGCTTTTAGTAAAGAAACATCACTAAATTTAAGTCACTGTCCCTGGGGATAACACTACATTACAAACTAGCATCAATGGCTTATTTCCCCTGACGTCAAACTCAAAAATTACTTTGCAAAATCACTGCTCAATCCCATTCTGCTTAACACACTTGGACTGGTCCAGTGCAACTTCAGTATGCACTGAACAAAAAAGAAATTATTCTAATTGTGTCTGGTCACCAACATACTCTCCTGGCATTAGGAGCAACTGCTTGAAGTACAAAACCAGTACTTGCAGGCAGGCTGCTGCCATTAACACGCTTCCCCTTGTATACAGCACAGTCACAGACGTAGCACTGATATCCCCCTTCACCTTCACATATCCAAAACCAGACAATACAATTCTAAAACTAGGTTTTTCAGATCCCCTCTGAAATATTACCTTTTGCTGTATCATAGATCCCAAAGTAGGCAGCTCTATAGATGATGATGCCTTGGACAGAGACATTGAACCCTTGGTACAAGCCACGCACACCATCAGACTTGGTGATTTTCACTAGACAGTCCCCGAGACCAGAGAATTCTCTGTCTGCGCCAGCTTTTCCAACATCAGCAGCCAAACGGGTTCTTGCAAAATCCAAGGGGTAGACAAAGCAGAGGGAAGTGGCTCCAGCTGCACCACCAGATGCCAGGTTACCAGCAAAATACCTCCAGAACTGAGTGTGCTTGTCTACACCTCCCAAAAACACCTGCTTATACTTATCCTTGAAGGCAAAATTAAGAGCTTGAGTTGGGAAGTATCTGATGACATTTGCCAAGTTTCCTCGCCAGAAAGACAGCACTCCTTGTTCTTTTGGAATACGCACAACACAATCGATGATGCCCTTGTACTGCTTATCAGCAGCGATCTGTTTACTCGCATGTTGCACCTGCAAATAAAAATACAAATATTGATCACTTGCCTTGACAGGTCTATGCTGCAGTTAGGCTTAAACCTGCTTCTACTATAAAAGAAAGTTGTTAATTCTGAGTGGCCATTGTTGGTATCATAAAGAAAAAGACTTAAAATTGCTTCCAAGCTTTTTCAGAAATCAGGACATGGCAAAACAAGAACAGAAAACTGCGAGCAATTCCTCTACAACTTCCTCAAGGGAGACTAGCAAGATGGGGGCCAGCGTCTTCTCCAAGGCAATCAGTAACAGGACAAGGGAACACAACCTCAAGCTGTGCCAAGGAACATTTAGAGGGAACTAGGGGAGGAATTTCTTCAGACAAAAAGTGGTTAGACTTTGGAATGGACTGCTTAGGGACTGGTGAAGCAACCATCCCTAGAGGTGTTAAAGACTGGACATGGCACTTAGTGCCACAGTCTACTTTAAACTAGACTACGTGGCATTAGGTTGGGCTTTATGATCTCTCTGAGGTCTTTACCCAACTGATTCTGGGAAGTACAAGGGCAGGTATAGAACAAATACACCACGGCAAATACATCGGGCACACATAAAGGTGAGAGCCTTTACTGACAAAGACAGGCCTGCGGTGGGAATCGCCTGAGAGAGCCGCGTCAGGCCGACAGAGCAGCCAGCCAGAGGGGCAGGGCCTGGGGGCGAGGGAGGCTCCGCCAGCCCCGCGGCCGGGGCCGGGCCGCCGCGAAGGTCACTCGAGTCACCTTGGGGCGCCGCCGGGTCACGCCGGGCCGCGCGCGCCGGCCGCGCCCCGACTCCGCCCCGCCCGCGGCCCAATCGCGGCCCGGGCGCGCATCACGTGAAGGCCGCCAAGATGGCGGCGGAGAGCGGCCGCCCTCCCCTCCCTGCCGTGCCCTCGGCGCCGGGAGCGGGGGCGGCAGGAAGTGACACCAGCAGCGGCCGCCCCCCTCGGCCCGGCCCGGCCCTACCTCCCCTCCCCGCCCCGCATGGCGGAACCGGCTTCGGCTTCCCCGCCGCCGTTCACGTGACCTTCCCGCCAGCCGCCGCCGCCTCGCTCGCGCCCTTTGTCCCGTGCTGGCCGCGGCTCCCGCCCCCGTCCGTCCCTCTGTCCTCGCCCGGCCCCGCGCCCGTGGGAGCAGAGACGGGCGCCGCCCGCGCTACCCGTTCTCGCCCGCACCGCTGACCTGGAGCAAGAGCTTGACCCGCTCGATGGGCGCCACCGCAGTCTTGCTGATGGCGGCGGCGACGCCGCCCGCCAGAAAGTCCTTGAGGAAGGAGATGGCCTGGTCCGCCATGTTCGCGCCGCGCCGGAGCCGCCGGGAGGGAAACGCTGCTGCCGCTCAAGCCGAAAGGGCGGGAGCGCCCCCGCGCATGGGCTTAATGCCGGGCCGCGCCGGCCACGCCCCCGTGCCCCATTGGTCAGCTCGCCGTGGGGGCGGGGCTTGCGAGGAATGGGCCCCGCCCCCTCCCCTCGCCCTCCGCCCCGCTGCGGCGCCAGTGTCGCAGCGCCGCGTCACCCGGGCCGGCCCCGCCACCGCCACCGCCCCGGGCCGGCCCCCGCGGGGCAGCCTGTGGGTCCGCCCGCTGCTCACACCATTGTCCCCACTTCGGTCGCCTTCCCAAGCGCTCTCCGCGATCGCTGCCTGACACAGCCAGTAGCGCCCGCAGCAGCCTGCACAGCCCGGCGGGTCCCCGTACCGCCCGGCACGCAGGCTCTGCAGAGGGATCTGGACGGGCTGGATCGGTGGGCGCTACTTGTATGAGGTTCCACAAGACTAAATGCCAAATGCACTTGGGTGACGACAGCCCCGTGCAGCGCTACAGACTGGAAAACTGGCTGGAAAACTGCCCCGCGTAAAAGGGACGGGGGTGCTGGTGACAGCATCGGAAAATGAGCCAGCGTGTGCCCAGGTGGCCTGGAAAGTCAATGGTATCCTGGATAAGAGGACCAGGGCAGTAATCCTGCCCCTGCACTCAGCACTGGTGAAGCCACTCCTCGAGTACTGTGCCCAGTTCTGGGCCCTTTAATCCAGGAAAGACATTGAGGGGTTGGAGTGGATCCAGATAAGGGGAATGAAGCTGGTGAAGGCTCTGAAGCACAAGTCCTGTGGAAGTGACTGAGGGAGCTGGAGCTGGTCAGCCTGGAGAAAAGGAGGCTCAGGGGTGTCCTTATTGCTCTCTAGAACCAGCCAAAAGGAGGCTGTAGCCAGGTGAGAGTTGGCCTCTTCTCCCAGGCAACCAGCAACAGGAGAAGAGGAAACAAGCTGTGCCAGGGGAGGGTTAGGTTGAACGTTAGGAGGAATTTTTTCACAGAAGGGGTGGTGAGACATTGGAATGGACTGTCCAGGGAAGTGGGGTAGTCAAAGTCCCTTGGTGTCTCTAAGGAAAGAGTAGATGTGGCACTTGGTGCCATGATCTGCTGACCTGGTTTTGGGTCAGAGGCTGTACTGATGATCTGAGATTTCTTTTCCTACATAACTGATTCTATGAAGCTGAGTGTGAGCTGCTGGAGCACTGGCTTTGGGATGTAGGTCTGTGGGCCCAGGCAGTAGTCAATGAGCAGCACAAGCAAGTGAACTGAGAGACTCTTTCTGCAGCAACTGCTGGAAGCCAGTCTAGGAGGGAGGCACAGCTTTCTGCAGGGGGTCCCCGTGGGGCAGCAGCAGCTGTGGAGGTGGAGGGGAGCAGATTTCAGGCACTGTCCAGGCACTGTCAGTTTTGCTCCACACTCACCACCCTCTGGGTAATGCTGATCCATGGCATATCCTTGTTCCCAAGTTCTGTTCCCACCTCCTCCTTAGCACTGCCAGTGCCAAGGGTCACATCATGGGGCTTTTCTGTATGTCACTGAACTGATCCAGAACAATGGAATACCAAAGGTCTTAGCTGCAGTTTCCTGTGGGACAATAGGACAGGGTGGTTCCAGCTTCTTGTATGGGCACTGAAGTTAGATGCTGTGAAAACCTCCTCTGCAGGCTGTCAGAGCAAGCACTCATGGCAGGGACTCAGGCCCTACCAAGACAGGCCTGGTTTCCACCAGTAACTTTGTTAATTTTACTGTATGCTGAAATTGATATTTTGAACCTTTCAAACTTCTGTCTGAAATTATACCTATTCTTTCTAAAATGTGTTGAAATTGTTCTAGCTGGAGGACATTAGTTCACATCACCTGCTTTCACTTTTATGGGTGTTTCCAACCAAAGTAAATAAGGCCAAACCTTTCTTTTAAACAGATGACTGGTGAACCACAAAGTTGCAGTAGCTGAGGTGCCAGTAACCACTGCTTACACATGTATGTACTTTGCAGGATTTCAAAATGAGAGCATGTCTCTCCAGAGGGCATGTTGTGAGAAGAAAAGGTGCCAGGAATAGTTTTTGTCTCTGTTCTCACGCAAGACATGTCATATACTTTCTTTTTGCACACCAGAAGATCAAAAGTAAACTGTGTGCTCTTCTGAAGCACAATAGATTGACTGAAGTGACTCCTGTGCTCACAGAGGGTTATGCACAGAGGGTGTTAGAAGATCATATTCTGAACATAATTTATGCAATGCTGTGGTACATTCATTCAGGGAGGCACACACAGTGTGGTAATTTTTCCTTTTAAAAAAGCTCATAACTGAATGTTAATACTCTCTTAGCACAATACCTTGTCTGGTATTTTGTTCACCATAAACTTTTATATTGATTTAAAAAGAACTTCATATTCTAAGACTCTCGAGTATTATCAGTGTGAAAAATGAAGGTAAAAGGCACATAACTTGTAATGGGGAACTTGTTCAGTCTGTAGTTGTCATGTTCTGTTCAGCTTGGGAGCTCACCTGCATATGACTGGGGGAAATCCTTTTTATACATCATCATGCTTTTTCTTCTGTTTCTTCACCTGTTTTTCCCTCCTTATCTCATATTCTGCTATCTACTTTTGTAACAGCTCACAAATTAAGTAGGGCTAAAAAGGTGTAGGATGATGTTCTTGAAACAAACTCGGTGCCCTCACATTTAATATCAAATTACAATCACAGAGGAAACTTGTGCTTTTATATAACTGCCTTTTTTTTGGAAGCCTCTCTCAAAGCAGAGCAGTCTGTCTTGACTCTCTCAGGAAGCTGCTGCTCCAGTTCTTGTTTCCAATCTTACACCATTGCAGTAGCAGTTTCCAGACTTGATTAGAGGGTGTTTATTTACAGCAGAGGGTGTGACATAAAATGATATTAAAATGGATGGAGCATTAAAATGATACCAGCATTAACCTCCTGGAACAGGGGAAAAGCAATGTGTGCTGGTCTAAAAACTCTACTAATTGCACCAACTATGAAGAAAGTGATTTCTCAGCAGTGAAGGGCTGATGACACCATTTATGTCCCACATGTGTTGTGCAGCCACACAACCTCCTGCATCATTCTATTGAAGTCTAAAATAAATGTAATTAATCTTTCTCCCTTTTTAAAAGCAATACCACAACGCTGGCATTTCTTGTTACATTTCTTGTTTATGGTATTGATGGGAAGTTGAGAATGTAGTTGGATAATTACAAAACATCAAACACAAGTATAAGGCATCCAGACTACTGCTTAGTGCATTTTTTTCTAGGTCTTAACACAGAGAATGACATCTAACAAATTTCCTGTTATTCTGATTTTGACATTTGTGAATCCATGTTGTTCCAGCAAAGCTTGATATTCAGAGCCACTTCTCTCCTTTCCCTCTGTCTGCACAAGCATGTTCAAAGACTGCAGCAAAGCTTTGCTTCTCTTCTTCTTCTCATCATCCAACACCATTTCAGCCAGCAAAATTGCACAGCCTAATTTAAAAACAAACACATGCAACAGTTCTAATCCATTATCAGGCAAGAAAATTTCTGCTGCCATATAGAGGGGTGCAAACTACAAGACCTGGGTGATTTCCTTTATCATTTATGGATTTGCTCTCCTATTAAATGACTAATCCACTATTAAATGAATAATCCACTCCTCTCACAAACCGCAGGAAATTCCCTTTCCCAGTATGGACTGATCAAACACTCACAAGTCAAATCACGTTTTCAGGGGAAAAGGGGATGACTTCTGTAGACTTGGCATGAGGACTATAGAAAACAGTAAGACAGTAATAGAGTTGCATCTCTTTGGGATATATTGCTGCTTCACATTCATATTGAAATGATGCCAAACAGAGAGAAGAGTGGATGGCAAGCATTACAGAAGCAGCGAAGTCTTCAGAAACAGAATATTTCTGTTTCTGTTCAATACATTCTGTATGTTATTTCTGTAGGACCCGAATTCTCTGTGGTGGGACTGACCTAAGGATGAAAGCAGAACTTAAATTATCTGATTTACAGTCTTCTTCTCCATACTCAGACCTGTGAGAGGAAAGGGAAGCCAAGAGAGGGCTACTGACAAAAGCATTGCGATACATACTTGCCTTTTGGCCTGACACCAACTCAGATCAAAATAGCAGCAGTTCAGAGTGATTTTATTATGAAGTGCAGCATAACATTCATACCTTTCTGACCTTTAAGACAATCTTCTCAGAGCCATTCCAACTTGTACAGCTCAGATATTCAATAATCATCAAAATGTTTTAAAACTTAATTCCCCTCATTCTTCATGTCAGGAATATTTTCCTCAGTTATGCATATTGCTTAGAATCTTTTCAGTGTTAGACTATTAAACCCACTACTTCTACCAGTCAGCAAAAGTTATTCAGAGCAAGTGAAAAACTTAATTTGTATATTAGTAAGATGAGCTTATAATTCCTCAGGTGACTGGGCTGCATCACATGATTGCAGAGCACCTGAGCCTGAAACAGACCACAGGAGATCTCTAGTCCAGCCTCCCACTCAGAGCAGGGCAGCTCTGCAATCAGCTCAGCTTTTTCAGGACTGGCTTCACACATAGAAGCCTCCAAGGACAGAGATTCCACAACCTCCCTGGACCATCTGCTCCAACACTTAATTATCCTGAGAGCGCAAAGCTGTGATGTATGACCACAGACACCATGCCCAAGGGCCTAGTGCTTAGTGTTGTGCATTAATCACAGAGTAAATGAAGGCTGGGTGGTAGCCAAACACATTCTATTAAAATTTTACAGTCAGAGACACAGTACTTAGGGGCACAGTTTTAAAGTCTGTGACAGTTACAGGTGTGCCAGCTTTAGGATTTGTCTGTTTCTGACTCAAGCAGCTTAGAGCAGCTTAAGGAACAGCATTATGAACTTCATGAGTAACTATGAGACACATCTGATTGACAGGGTGAGTCTCTCTCAACATACAAAGCTGTTAAGCTAAGAGCAAGCTTCATGTCAATGTGGAAAAGAAACATTTTAAATTTATTAATTTGTTGAATATTCAGCCTCATCTATTTTAAATGTCTGT